AGTTTACCGGGACCCAAGCCACGGTTTGGAACCCTTCCCCGATGCTCGCTGCGGGTCAATCATTCGGTAACACAATCATCGAATCGACCTATTGCCGATTGCTGAAATGCGGAGAGAGAACCCGGAAACCAGCCTCCGTTGACGGCGTCTGAACTGCAAAGTGCACAAAAAAGAAAAGAAAAAAAACGTAACAAAAATACGAAAACGTAAAGCGGTACTTACTCGGTCATACATCATACAAAAGACGCAGTGTACGCTGCGTACATGATGAAAAACGTATCTACAGGACAGGTACGCGTGAAGCATGCCGGCTTCATACATATGTATGTTTCAAACATGTCTGCCGGCAGTTGTTGTGTGACCAATGTGTTGTGTGACCAATGGCTTGCAGTGTAGTACTTCCAAAAATCCCTGCACGCAACACTGCGCGCGTTGCATCATGGTAGGGACCTCTTTGGCCATGGGAGAGGAGTGGCGTGGTTTCGGTTTCAATTTTGACGTTGTGGAAGTAGTGAATTACTCGAAGTAGTGAAATTTAAGGAACGTTACATATCCGAAAATGCAGGCGCTGTATTTGGTCGTGACGGGATGTCGTGAAGTGAGATTAAAAAATCGAAACCGAAAGCGTTGCCAATGGGATCCCAAGATGCTTTGCGCAGCACTACGCTGCTAGGATAGCTTCGATTTTGCGAGAGGTCTAGGGACACCATACTCTAAGCTCCGAGGCAAGGAGAAAAATAAATAGCGAACATCACTTGCCTCAGGCTGCTCAGGGATACCTCATGTATTATGATGTTTAATAACGCCGTACACTCTCCCTTCTTACAAAACTGAAAACTGAGATTATCTGGGGAATGCTGCGTCATCTGTACCAGCAGCGTCCACATAAAACCCAGGCAGAACATTCTGCTCGCATATGTCTCGCGTGAGCCATCACCCACATGTTCGAAATTGTATCGTACAATGTCTCACAACGGTGCACGTGCGACATGGGCGAATAAATATGAATAGGCCCTTTTAGAAAACTAGGTGCTTTACCTCAAAACGCCTGAAGTACAACTCTATTGTGGAAAAGTCGAAGTCGCAAAAACTGGCATTTCTAATTACGCTATTTGCTTGGAAGGTAGCCCCTTCACACCTGCGCTGACGTCACAGTAGCAGCCATTGACAAAAGCTGCCTTTATTTCCACTGCACTCCTTAACGCGTTGGAACACGGAACACTGGCGCCCGGCGTTCGCTCCTAAGCACACGACTGCGATATTCATATGCGTCTCAAAGAGTTGACAGCGGCGGGTTAGCCCCGTTGAGTGCGCTTCTTACCAAGCACCGATGCACTGCGGAGAAGCAACCACCGCGGAGCTCGCTTCCGCGGGTGTCGCTTCTCCGCAGTACACCGGCGCTTGGTAAGAAGCGCACTCAACGGGGCTAATCCGCCGCAATCAGGAGTAACACTAAAAAAATAAAATATCTTGTGTAGATTACTTTGATAAGCCCGGGGAGCATAGAATGTGTCGTACACGCATTACGCTTCCGTTATAATTTGCTGTGCTCTGTTACGGGGAGCTTTGGGTAGTTTCGGATGCACTGCACACACGACGTACGTGTGTTTTCCGGATTCATCGTCTATTCAGGAGTGGAGTGTGTCACAAGCTTGCTTTAACGATACGTTTTCCGCGGGGTCTGCTTCCTTTGTGGGTGCGTGTATGGCCTTGATTTCTTAGTGCTCTTGGACTGACAGGGGCCCCTTGTGATGACTTGAAGTAATCGCTAGGGGAGGAGGCTTATCGCGCCTTTCAAGTTATCTACATAATGTTGTCTTAAAGTAGTGACGTCATACCCCGCTGCGCTATCTCTTGGTCGTCACGTCGTGAGTTCGCACGCGGAGCTACGCTTTGTTATTTGGGATCCAGCCGCGCATAAAGTCCCTTGATACTTCTTTTACGAGTAACGACAACCAATACAAATGACAGAGCACATTCTGCTGGAACAAAATGGCGGCATTCAGTTCGAACCTCTGCTAAGCGCCGCCATTCGCTTCCTAAAACCTGCACCGTCACGCAGTCGGCGCTTTAAAAAATGTCGCTACTTGTAGGAAGCACTCATGTAAGGAGTTTAGCCGCGCGTGCCAACGGTCGCCCGCGGATGGGACATGCGGCAGGGGAAACTATTTTTTTTTTTTAAATTATTATTATTAACGATATTGGAATGAAATTTTTCTAGTTGATGGCGCTTAATCTTCTCTTCATAAACCTGGTGTTATATTTTATACTATAGCTTTTTTTATTTATTTTCTAGGTTTTTGATGCAATTTAGATACAGAAAAAAAAATGTTCTTATGCACACGTGAGGCACGGCAACACACTCAATAAGGCTTAGTAAAATAAACTAAGTCACCCCTTTAAAACCACTGAGTGCAATGAACAACAAATATAATGTGTGCAACACTTCTTTCAGTTAAAAAAAAAAAAATGTCATTTCGAGAGCGAACTAACGTTTCTTCAATGTTTAATAAATACGAAAAAAATATACATTCCAACCAAACCTAGATAATTGCATTTTACATATTCTAGCGTGCATTCATGCCAAATGTGGTTGCGATAGGACAATATTAAGAACATAACTTCTTGTACAAAAACTGTGAAGATGCCCCAAAATTACATAAGGAGAAAAACGAGTTCGAATGTTACCATAGACGTGTAGCGATACCCTTTCGCGGAGCGGAAAATAATATTTTGTTAATAAATTTTCGTGAGAAATTGAATCTACAGCAGACCGCAATGCAGAGGAGATGGCTTGTCCTACTTGTCAACGTCACAACTTGAAGAACCACTCAGAGAAAAATAGCTGAAATTCACGCCGCTCTTGGTTGCCCGGACGTCTTCAAATGCGTATTTGATTAATGTCGCGATCATAACCGGCACTAATTATTTTCACACATCAAATATAAAGATACAAAAATCCTAAAACACCATAAAACCCCAAATCACTTTTTTTTTTAGGTTTGCCGGGTTTTTTTTAATTTTTATTACGTTGGACTAAGTACCACTCACCGCGGACATTCACCTGCTACTGTAGGCAACCGTCGGCGACGATAAATATGAAAGGAAGATCCATTGGTGGATCCTTAGGAATTATGCGTTAGCATGACCCTTCAGAGACGTCACACACGACCGCCTTTAAAAAGAGCTAACGCTAATCCCTTCACTTTTCTGGTCTGGCTTTCTCTTTTGCTTCCTCTATTTTTTCCTGCCTCATTTTGACTTCGTTACGGGATCAGTGTTAGCGTTTCCCAGAGGAGGACGTATGCGGCGTTTCACAAGGGTCATGCTAACGCAATCCCTCAAAATCCACCAATAGGTCTCCCTTTAATTTTTCTTTTTTTTTTTTTTTCTCAGCCTTTGTCGCACGCAGACCCGCGTCGGCTTGCCGCTTCAGCGCCGCGTTTCGGCCAGCCGAGCTCCCGCTCCTCTGTCTCGCTCGCCCGCCTTGCACCGGTTTCCAGCGCGCGGATTGGCTTCCGCCTCGTGACGTCACTTCCCTTTCGCCTTTGTTCTTCCGTACTCTCCTTCTCTCTATGCGACGCCCTTTTCTTTCCACAGTTTTGTCCACAGACGGACGCCATTAGCTTTTCGCTCTCATGAAGGTACTTTACGACTTTACGACGCACGGGTGCTTGGTGTAACACGACTGTAAATGGATAGTAATTTTGTTGGGAGAATTTTGAACTAGATGTCCAGTGTCCTTGAAGAGCCTCAGTTGTAAGCGCAAAAAGGGCTGGCTAAAAGTTGAGTGACACGCACGGAGGACCGTATGGAAAGAGGTTTAACACTTCGTGTAATTAATAAATGATTTTATTGGTCCAACAATATTTGCCTTCTGAAGCAGGCGTATGATTCTTCTTTTTCTTTTTTAAATCTTACTTTGTTCTGGCGTGTAGTTTTTTTTTTTTTTTTATGCGCCTTTTTTTTCCGCTTGCTGCTAATTATTTTTATAGGCAATTATAGGTGCCCGAGGACTTGTCAAGTTGTACATTACCGCTTTCTTTCTTGGGTTGCCCATTATAATCGATGAAATTAAAGCTAATGCTAAGTAAATGCTAATGCTATTTTAGCTAATTAAAGCTAAAATATACAAAACAAAAATTTACAATCATCTCACACCAAGAAATACAAATATATGAAATACACTGCGAAAAACGCTCTCCGAATTCACTAAAAATATACCCCGTAAAAGAATGCACATTAAAAAAAAAAAACACAAAAAAACAAACAAACGGGGGATTAAAAGGAGCGGAGAGCCGAGTAGCAGACTAGATGAAGATAAATTTCTTTGCAGAATTTTGAACTGGATGCCCAGCGTACTTGAAGAGCCCCAGCTAAAGGAGCACACGAACACAGAGCTGCACCGTGTTTCTGTGCTCCTTCTAGCCCACCGTTTTTTGTTGTTATTGTTGTAGTTTTTCTGCGTTGTTTGATTACCCTAAGCTATGCAAAACCGACTACCCCAACTCCACGCCTTGTTGTCATACGTACAGTATATTTGGTACGTGTGAACGTGCACCAGAAAGAACGGCCCAAAGAAAACTTTCAGCCAATAGAAAAAAAAAAAAAAAAAAAAAAAAATTTTTGTTTTTTAGTTGACGTGTTTTAGGTTACACGGACAACTCAGAAAAGCAGTATGTCACTAGAAAGCTTTCTTGGTTTGTTTTGTTTTTGTTTCGTCAGTTTCCACTCTTATGACCGCGGCGGTCATGACAAACGAAATCGAAACTAATAACTGGTTTTGATGATGATGATGATGACAGTTTCATTAAAGACATATGTTTGTAACTTTTTTTAATTTATTTTCTACCCTCAAGTTTATTTTACACAGTACAGGCGGCATCGAATTTCACTGGCGCCACTTGTATGCGCTTACAGTTTGATCTAAATATAACATTAGCAATCATTATCATCGATTTTTACTAAACTCCATAGTTATCCGAGCCGAAGGCAAATCCGCATCAGGTAAATTTCAGACTGCAGACGACAGGATACACTCAAGTCCGCGTACTCCTCGCAATCGCTAAACAGCGGTTCATGATTGGAAAATCCACAAAGCATCTAAGCAACGATCCCCGTGCCCGCGATCTCATCGGAAGAATGACGACGGTGAACAAGCTGCTAAAGTACGCGAGCTTCGGAGGACTAGCAACTGTCGGCGGTATCCTCGGCTTGCAGAAATACGTCGCCATGAAGCTGACAGAGAACGAGTACTACAAGACCTCGCTGGCGATGCTCCGAAACCACAAGGAAGCCGTCAAACTCCTGGGCGAGCCCGTCCGCGAGCGCAACATCGACGTCGGTGACTCAAAAAGCACCACCACGCGTCCGTATCGAGCGCGAATGAAGGTTCCGCTCCGAGGCTCGAAGCAGTCCGGCGACCTCTACCTCTGGGCGCAGCGCAGAACTCTCCAAGACTCCTGGGAAGTCCTCAGGCTGGAGTTGGGGCTCCAGACGCTCAAGGACAAGCGTCTGCTCGTGTACGCCAATCCGGGCTACGGCGTGGACTACGTGCGAAACTTTGACGTGGACGCTGTTCCCGATATGGTGGACGGTGTGGAGTCGTGATCGGCCTCGTCCTTGCGTGGTTTAGCCAGTTTAGCGATTCGCAAAATAGAGCACACGTGATACAATGATCGCACGTACACCTCGTGCCATCCCGTAAGGCCGACTTCTCCATTGCCCACTGCGCGCGCCATGCTCTTCTGAAACATGCTTATGGCGTTCCGTGTGTACGCTTCTGCAGAATTGACTGCCCCACGGCCGTTAGTAAACAGCTTGGGTACGCATGTAGATTGAAGGACATTGCAATTGTCTATGTGTAACCTTTCGAAAGACTTCCCCTTAGAAGTGCTCTGGAGAGCCGGCACTACGGCAAGTTCTGAAAGAATTCAGAGTTGCAAACCGAAATACAGTGAGACAAGTCGATCATAATCGCGGTACATGTACTATTATTGACATTCACGTTCCGCGTTGTGTGATGTTCAGCATGCTCAGACCAGTGGTGTATCCAGGAATTTTTTGGGGGCCTCCCCCCTGGGCTGCACCACTGGCTCGGATCAAACGATCGGCACGCAAACTTTTGAGAGGTTTGCGTGCCAAGCTCAAACTTTTTAGAGGATGCGTTCACTGACCTAGTGTTGACTCCGACATTTTTCCTGTAGTTGCGTCTCTTTACTATGAGCACCCCCGATTACGCAAAAAATTGTTTATTATGAGAGTTGTTCAGCAAGACAAAAATGCACACATTTACTCAGTTCGTGCCCAGAATGTTTGGTCTACATGGCAGGGCATTCAAATTTCTGGGGTCCATTTTACCGAGTATGCTCAATTGGGCCTAGCCGATGATAGCACACATAAGGAGGACGGACACCGCAACATTGTGCTTTTGGCACTCCTCAGGAGGAATCATACATTTGTCTTTTTAGACATAGGCTAGGTGGTGCAAGCTACTGCCTGTTACAAAGGGTGTAGCCATTAACATCCATCTATACATCCTCGATTGGTCTCCGACTCATAGCATCGGCTGCAATTGGACTTGCAGTAAAACAGTCCAGACGAGTTTCACGAAGTCCCATGCTCAGTCCGCTTTCAAACGTGGAGATTGCTTCCTACCGAGAATGATTAGCTTCAAGGTTTTTAGAGCAAAGAACAGCGTTTCGATAGTTTCTCTAAACGCTGGTTCGCACACTTGCGTTTGGCGGTAATCGACCGTGCCATGACCACTTGTCACTGCCTACGACGAGATAAGACGCAGGTGCCAGCTGTTGTGTAATTCTGGAGCACTTCCAATCTGCACATATTTCCTGATTCTTTTTTATGCATAATTTTTTCTTGCTGAAATAATTTTGGCAATGTTAGAGACGACCACTTCTCGTATATGGTCACGGTCAAAAGAAAATGCGTGAACCAGCCTTAAGTGAATCTTGTACAAATCATTGCACCTGTTTCTCTGTACCGAGAATGAGCCACCTGGATTACAGCACAATGCGACGTCCTTGAAAACTCGGGTGTGAAATGCGCGAGAGTGTCGCCGAAAACCACTCACGGGCTCTGTTTCCTTCTTGCCCCATTCGAAACCCCTGGAAATTCAGTGCTAAGTTCGTGCCGTTGCTCTGTACGTCGAGACATATCTTTACGTTCTCAAACAGGTTGAGACATAAGCACTGAGGGTATGCTGACTGCAAGAGTACTTGAGAGGGACCTGTGAAAACTTGTCGCACAACCGATGTTTTACCCCTCGATTGAAAGACCGCAACCATAGAACAAGTTACCAGAAATCCAACAGTTTCGTGAAGCCACGAGAAAACACTACAAAATACTTGGCATTTGGAACGCCTTTGCTTGCGTCCGCCCGAAACCACAATCTGTCTTGCACGTTACGGGCCGCAGCGTATGGATTGTCCATGAACTGGCGCTTGAATTGCCGGTCAGACGCTGTATGATGGCAACCAACTTTCTGTCGCTTTCGAGCCCGAAGCTCTCTTTTCACAGCCACATCCCAGGCTCCTTTCTCTCTGCCCCACTGTGCCCGCCGTTGTCGCTCCTGCTTCACTTTGGTGGCACACAAAGCCCGCAAGCAGGGGCCTTCATAGCATGTGTAGTTCGCTTTGGTGCCGCTGAGCGCTCATTGAGAAAAGTCCCCACTCTGAGAGCGGTTGTCGATTGCACGCTCTATAGAGGCTACGTCCCAGACTTTGTCACAAAAGTGCTAAAAGCTCGCCATGCATTTAGGAATGCCTTTATGTCGTTGGGATGGAGCACAACTGATCGGTTTGAATATTTCATTTCGTAACATGTTTTTACATTTATGAAGGTTGGCACACACACACACTGGATTGCACAAAGTATGTCATTCTCGTTGAGAACGCAGCAAAGTTGCATCTGTCCAAAGAGCTCGGAGAGTCACTCGAGCACCTTGTTGACCACGGCATCCGACGCATCCTTCGGAACCTGCAACCGAAAAAGGAATGACGTATTTGCGACGACTTCCCGAAATGATTCCGAGCCGCACAATGTGCAATATTGCGGCGATTCAGGAAGCATTTGTAGTTTTTCTCACAAAAATGGGCAAGGAAAAGGTCGGAGGCACAATGTGTATATTTGGTGCGACATTGTACGAGAAAGCTGGATCCCGTTTTACAAGTTGCACAGAGCGCTGTGGTAAAGTTTGCTGGTCGTACAAGTATGCTTGTAGCTAAATTATGGTGCAAATCGTTACGCGCCGAGGTCCGTAAACTTGGAGTGCTACACACTGCTTGTGAGATGACATTTAGGTGATATATGGTCCGATGTCCTCTATTCTCCGCAGCTCCAAGAAAGACAACAACACCAGGCGGAAGAGACATCTGGAGTTGCAAAGAGTTGTGCGTGCCACAAGATGGGATAGTTTATGATTGTTGAACATGATGAAAAGCAGTGTTCAAAGGAACAGAACAAAAGGAAGTGACAGGAGAAACACGCACCGTTGTTTCCCTTTGTCCTGTTTCTATGAGCTTTGTTCTTCATGAAGTTATATCTGCGGCTTTGGGTTATACGACAATGCCCTACCAAAACTGCTGCACCGTAACAAAGGTGCAACCACTCGGCGAAAGACATTCAATGCTAGAGCTCTGCACGCATCACAATGCTACGATGTACCGAGGGTGGCAATGGGTAAGCAACATTTTGTCAATCCGCCGCCATTTTTGAACTTCCACTTCCTTCTGCCTTGCCGTTTAAAAACCATTTTTGCTGAGCATGCACTCGGACTTACAGGTCTGCACATACGAGGGCGGTCCAATAAGTACTTAGCCTAGAAAAGAAAAACAAAAATTTTGGAAAAGTGGCGATTTATTTTTTTAATATAGTTTTCTTTTAGTTCGATACACTTGACCCAGCGATGCTCCAACTTCTTTAACCCATTTGAAAAATATGTTTTCTCAATGTCTGCAAAGTAGGCTTCCGTGGAGGCGATCACCTCCTCATTCGATTCAAATTTCTGCCCGGCGAGTGGCTTTTTCAAGTTTGGAAACAAAAAGAAGTTGCACGAAGCCAAATCTGGCGAATACGGTGGATGGGGCAGCAGTTCGTAGCCCAATTCGACCAATTGGGCTGTGGCGAGGGTGTAGGTGTGAGCCGGTGTGTTGTCATGGTGGAAGAGCACTTTTTTCTTCGCTAAATGGGGCCGTTTTTTCTGTAATTCGGTGTCGAATCGGCCCAATAATTCGGCATAGTACAGCCCTGTGACCGTTTTGCCCTGTCCAGGTAGTCAATTCAGCCACACCTTGTAAATACGAGATAACGGTGGCCATCACCTTTCTGGTCGATAGGACAGTCTTCGCCTTCTTGGGAGCACGTTCGCCGGGTGAAGTCCAGTGTTTCGACTGTTTCTTGGTCTCTGGTGTGTACCAGTGCATCCATGTTTCGTTGAGAATCACGAAACGACGCAGAAACGCCTTCGGATTGCGCTTAAACAGTGTCAAACACTGCTCTGAAGTGGTCTCACGGTTGCGCTTGTTGTCCGGAGTGAGCAAACGCAGCACCCATCGCGCCGACAGCTTTCTCATGCCCAAAATTTCATGCAGGATATGACCCAAGCGGTCTTTTGAGATCTTGCGCACCATCATTCGGTGATCTGCCAATACGAGATCGTGGATTTTTGTCACATCATCCTCCGTGGTAGCCGTTTTCGGCACACCTGGGCGTGACTCATCAAAAACCGACGTGTGGCCACGTTGAAACTCGTTAAACCGATTTTTGATGGTCGCCATCGAAGGAGAAGACTCACCGCACACAGCATCCAAGCGCTCTTTGATTTCGCTGCGCGATTTCCCTTCCTAAAACAAGAATCGAATTGCCAACCGATATTGTTCTTTTACCATTTTTTCTAAAATTCGTGGACACGCCCGCTTCCACATGCGGTCAAAACAAAACTACGAGTCCGATTCGGTTGAAATTTCGATAGTAGCCGTCTATGAGAATGTACCGCACGATAGCAAATTTTTCTTGCGATAGTGCCGTCATCGGGCGGTGAGGCTAAGTACTTATCGGACCGTATCTCCAGCTTCTTGACAGGTTCCTCCTTATAGCCGAATGCCCTTGCACCACCTGTATGGCAGCCTCTCCATGCCCTGCTGAAACCGCTTTTTGGGTGAGCCTCACACCCGTGTCTCATCAGCTGCTTCCAGCTTATTAATGACCACAAAATGAAGCCCTCGCGGGTTTTTTTTTTTTTTTTTTTTATTACAGTTAGCGGGTGATAATTACTGGGGGCCCAGTCATGTCGTACCCACGCACGACCAAACGTCCGATTGGTCGTACAACGCGCCAAGACGACAGCCGAACCCAATTATATGCCGGCCAATCACGGCCTCACGTGAATGCAAACGACGCACTGATTGACTGGTGTCCGATTAGAATCCGTCGTCTTTCCGGTGCGCCATACGACCAATCAAATGATCGGTCGCGCATGGATATGGCTAGAGCCTGTGATTTTAACCTGTTTGGCCGTATAAAAGACATCTAAGCATTTCTTATGAGTTATGAATGCGAAAGTATGCATGTCATTCTTCCGCTCCCTTAGTTGATCTGTGGCGTACTGGCGTAAATGGCCGAGCACGCGCTCTCCGCGCCACGCACTCTCTCACTTGGCAGCCAGCAACCTTCTTTTACCGGCGCACTGGTGGCGCCGGTATGGGTCTGCAGCGCCTTGCGGTGGCGGTCCTTGAAACTGACACGCGGCGGCCATTTTCTTGAAAGCCTCGTTCCTTGAAACTATGACGTGCGCCAGCCAATGGGACCTATCCATCAGATTTCGGCTTCACTGCACTCTATTGGGAGAGGGGAAACTAGGCGCCGTTTTGCTCGGCTTTTTGCGCAGCTTCAAACTGGGAGCCATCAAGTTGCGGCTTCACTTGGCTCTATTGGGAGAAAGGAGTTTAGGTGCCGTTTGGTGCGGTTTCAAAGCTGATGATGAAAGCTCGCTCCATGGGACAGTTACTGCTTTTGCATTAAAAACCTGCGAGGACGCCATTCCACAGTCACTGATAAGCTGGAAGCAGTTGTTTAAGCGCAAGAGTGAGGCATTCCCAAAACGTGGTTCCAGCAGACCATGGACAGGCTGCCACAGAGGTGGTGCAAAGTAATACGGCTACAGGGGGAGGCTGTACAGGAGGTGGGTGTATGTGCAGAACTCCAAGTAACCGGTATCTGCAGCAAAAATTTAAATCCTAAATCAATATGGTATGCCCCTCCCCCTCGTAGGATCGGATAAGGATCGCGCCTTGCTTGCACTTGTAAAGCAAAATGTTCAAACAAACTGAAAGTTGGCAATTGCCACTCACCCATATGAGCTGGCTCAATAGAGTTTAATGCTGGAGTGGTTCAAATGCAGCATGGGCGGAAGCCCCGGGTGCTTTAAGCTGTTGGACGTTGGAATGAATTGCCACCGTTCCCCCCTACCGTCCAAGCCTAGCTGCCGGTCCGTTCCAAGGCACACAGCGCGCAAAGGCATCCCATGCAGCCTTTTAACCTGGTGACTGTGACACAATTGAGCCAGCCCACGCTGCTGCTGACTGCATTGAGTTCTGCGGTAAGCATTCATCAGCAAACAAACCTTGCTGAGCAGTTCAAGGACGTCACCGACACCCCGGAGTTGCAGCAGAGACGTTCGCAGGGACATGAGCAGCACCGCGCCCACTTGCGGAAGGAACTTCACCGAGCCTCCAATAACCTTGTCCCAAACCCTGCGAGAAAAACGGTATTGCGGAAAAAGGGAAGTCGAAATGCGGGGATGTAAAAGTTGCGTGATAAAAGTGGCGAAAAACAAAAGCCGGTGAACCACGAGAAACATTTTTTGTGTTTGTCTCGAATCCAGATGGCACAAGACCCAACCGTTGAGACTTGCGAGGGAGCGCTAAGCATAGAGCAAGACAGGAGATAAGGTTGCAAGCAGAGCATGTGAATACTGTAATACGTGCGTAATGGTTGCATGCGTGTAATAGCCGCACCCCTAACTTTAAACAAAAAGAGCCGAAAAATATATTTAAAAATTGCCCGTGTATAGGCTGCACCTACGATTTTAGAATGGCTGGAAGCGCCATCTAGTTCGTAACAAAAAACTCGAGAATGTTTTCTGGCAGACGGCACCCACCCGGCTGCGGCAGCCTACAATATTGAGGCACTCTATCCTGTCTATTTGCGGCTCTCGCTTCATCTCGAACCGGAAGTGCAGCTCTTTGTGTTTGCGAGTACCCCCGGTTTCCCATTGTCACCAACTTCAGGCTTTACCCACACTGCTGTATGAAAGGACAATACGTAATTTCGTTGTAGGTGACCTCGTTGAAGATCGTGCAGGCAGTTGCATTTGGAATTTTCGAGAATAGTGGACCACCTGAAGCGTCCTTGAACACATGTCTTCTGTCACGGTGTAAAAAATGATACGGTGGCATCGCTGTTGGGATGGCCCTTCCTGGCAACCTGCCGACGCTATCATCACGCATGGATGGCAGTCCTCAAGTTTCTCCTAGCGTCATCCAAACAGAGACCCTCGTGGATCGCGACTTGAGATTGCCGGCACAGGTGCGAGCTCTCCGAGAAACAGCACGCTCGAAACAAGTTGCCGGAGTTGCCGGTGTACAGAGTCTGGGTTGGCACAGCGAGTCCACGTCTGGCCTCCTTCCTAGGTATCGGATCACCGGAGCAGTGGGTCACGTTCACGTCGACTGATGACGTACCCTTGAGCGTGCAATATTACGGACGCAAACGCCTTCGGATAGGTGTTGAACTTCACTTTGCGAGTCATCCTACTGTTTCAAGTCAACCACCACCATGCTCGTCCTGCAACGGACTGTGACTCAGCTTTGCTGGCTGGGTGCACTCTGTACACTAAGGCAAGAGAGATGGTTAGCAGCGGGCATTAGATGCCAGCAAACAATGACTCATGAAATCCCTACCTAGGGACCTGCGGCAGAAGATGCTTCGACTCCACTCTTGGAAAGCTACCTGGTTCGAGTCTCCGACAACGCAGCACTTCTCAGAAGAGAAATATTGTAGGGAGAATTGAAAGGAACCTTGGTCAGCACAATAACAATGCCCCAGTATACCCTTGACCCTGGTGCTTTCAGAAGTATAAAAAAAGGGGCGTTCAAACTTATATCTTGTTTTTCGGGGGGGTGGGGGGGGGGGGGTATTTTTCAACCAATGTAACGCAATAGATTTCACCCTGATACAAAGAAACGTTCCAAAAGTATTTCAATACACGAATACAGATACTGGTGAAAAAAATGTATCGAGATACAGAAATACAGATACAAATGCTTTCTGAAATACTATTGCGATACCGCCCAATTCTGACCTATACACCAACACACTGTTTACAAATAAGCCTGCATTTGCACGTGCGCAGAAACCAGATTTGCGTCAAGGGAAGCGTCTGGGCATCAACGCCACCGCCATGGCACTAAGTCAGAGAGTCGAGTTGGTCCATGTGCGGCAATATACAGTATATCTTACACCGTTGACTATAGCGACTGACCTGACCAGCGCGTCTTCGTCTAGGACCTCGGCGAAACAACGTCGGAACCAGACGTCCACCGGAAGCACAGGAAAGGCCTTGATCCTGAGCAGGTGCTGAAAGAGTTCAGCGTCCTCCTTCTCCAGTGTGTCCTCCATCTGCTTGCTCTGAAAGCATACCCATGGATCATTGTCATGTCGTCAAGCGAAACAAAGTTCCAAACTACGAACCACAATTTACAGTCAGTGACAGGTTAAGAGTCCAGTTTGCTCTCGTCGCCTTCCGTCATAGTTTGCGTGCGCTGGCGCTGAAAAGTTATCAAAGGTGGATCGATCGCGCTCTTCAGGAGGAGCTCCTGTCGCAACCTTAACCTGTCACCGAGTGTAGTTAAATTCTGGAGTATCTTGTGACCAGGGCTCCATACTTTTGGCACTTCTTTTTTCTTTAAAATCATGTGTTTTTTTTTGTGTGTGTTTATTTTTCTTTCTCACAAATTCAGCGTCGCCTTTCAATGTCGGACAAAAAAAGTTTGGTATCCACCGGGACTTGTGTCTAAAAAAAATATAGGACAAAAGAATGGGATTTTCCACACACCAGAGAACACAAGCTTGACCTGAACACACTCTCAAAAACGTCATGGTATCGACAAGAGTAAGAAACGAGATAACAGGCAAGGTTCTTAAAGGGGCCCTGAGGAGGTTTCTGAGCTCGCCTAATTATGGTGGTAACTCACTCTGCGGGCTATAAGCATCCTAGGAACCTTTAAATCACGGCCATGCGCGGCCGATTTTCTCATTAAAAAAGCAATCAAAGATTGAATACACTGAGGTCATCGCAGAGAATGGGAGGAGCCTTTCCCGAAACCAGAACCACTGTCAGCCAATAGCAAGTGGAAGATCCTCGCATCTCCGACCGGCGGACCCGCGGAGTGATATCTCGAATGCGTGCGGCCCATCGCCCAGATAGCCCGGATGTGGCCCGGACTTTGGACGCCCAGACAAAGTCGATCGTCATTGCAGCCATTGCTTCATCGTGCCATGACTCTCGGTAACTTGACGCCTCTCGAGGAAGAGATGCTTCAACGTACAGCACTTATGATGCGACACCGTTGCGCGCCGTCGTAAATGCGAGTGCATCAAATGGCGGGTATGCCAACCGCGCTGCGAAAGAGCCAATCCGTCCGAGGCAGCAGACGCACCCGACGACAGAATCTAGCCGCTTGGAAACACAGAACACGCATCAATCTTCCTCGCGCAGAGTCAGTCACTACCGGAATCAGTGCAACGAAGACCGATGCAAAGAGTCAGTCCAGTGATCGCGCCTTCGAGGGCAGACAACCGGACACATCACTTCCGCAAAAGACGAAAAAAAACAAAAAACAATAGTGTGCTGTTTTGGAGACGATTATTGCAGTATTACGTTCCCTCTCCGCAAAAAATTTAACATTTTTTCATACTCTTGTTTGCTTTTATCATCTACAAAAGCATACACATTTTATAAGAACAGCATTCTCCATGAAATGTCGCATTTTCATTGGTCACATGTTGCTGCAACCATACTGCTCCCATTCTCTGCAAGAACTCAATGTACTCAATCTTTGATTGTTTTTTTAATGGGGCAATCGGTCGCACATTGTCGTGATTTAAAGAACCCCTGAAAAGAAAAAAAAAGTTTTTTTTAAACAGTCTTGTTGGAACACACGTGTCAAGAAATAAATCTCGTCGTTCCAACATAAATATAAATGAATCAAAAGCCTGGTATCATCGACAAAACTTGTATTATACGGGGTTTAGTGGCGCCATCTATCGTAGGTCCACAATACCGTCAGCTCTATCTGCTACCGCAAACAGCCGCCAGAAGCTGGAGGGGGACGGGTATGGCTGGACCCGGACGAGACTTTCCTCTTTTCGCCATGTTGATCGCGTTGCGCAAGCACATAGTCACGTGGTCGTGAGCGGGTGAGTTCTCGCTGCTCACTAATGGTTCTAGAGAAAGAACTTCACCGGAACCCCGTGCGTCCCCCATTCACGTCACAGCGCACGTGACTCGGAAGATGGTGAAGGAGTTGAGAGGCACTGAAAACCTCAATCCTTAACAATTTTTCAAATAAAAACTAGGACATGCAGGCAAAAGCGGTTTTTTGTTCTTTCCTTCAAATAGTTCAAGACACAAACTGTTCTTTACTTAAGAAAGTTCGAGACACAAACTCTCAAATTATTTAAGCAAAGCACTAAAATTGTTGCACAGCTCCTTTAAAGGAAGTCGCTTCGAGGTACGGCGTGCACTATCGTCGACTGTTCTAACGTTATCGGAGTATGAAAAAGTGTTTCCTGCGATTTCAGATAAGGTTTAGGGTAACAGACGACAATGATTTTGAGCACCAAGATGGCCGACGTGTCATTATTTTTAAGCATAGCTTATTTGGCGGCCCCCGACCTACCATAAGGCAAGAGTCGATGGAGAGTTTCTTGAGCTGCCTCCAAAAGTTTCTCGTCATCCAGTAGACGTCCTGTTCGGAGAGGTCCATTTTGAAAAACGCCGAGGCGATCCCGAGAAGATGCTGTGCTTCCTCGTCTTGCATCTGGAGGAAAAGCGTCGTGTACATCATTTAAAAGGGCCAGGCGACGATACAGAATCAGAACGTTCCTTAATTTTCGCAACCTCACTGGCACGACTGTGACCCGAGTGTAACCTAAGTACTCTCACACTGCCACCGACCCAAAAACTTCTATTTAAAGGCCGACCTGCAAAATATTTTTTAACCAGGGTGAAAATCCTCCTTGACGTACCCTTCCCATTTCCCCCTCTCCCACTGCTATCTTGACAGCGGGCCGGAGGGGGGGGGGGGGGGGGGAGGAGGGGCGGGCGGCGGACAGAAAGACTTCTTTTGTTGCTGCTCTTTGGGGCCGGATAAGCTGGGAGCTTATCCTGGCTCATCCAGCCCCAAGATGCAGCAACAAAACGTGTTCCCCCACCCTCACTGTCGAAATAAAGGGCAACTCTGCTTCATTTTTGTTCTTGAAAAAACAATGCATTCCTCTTTAGTATCACCTAGGAAGACCACACGTCAAATACTACGACGTAGTTCTGTCTGAATGTTTCTTAAACGGCCCGGCAAACTTTGCAACTCGCCAAGTTGCCGAAATCGGCTGATTCGAGCGGCCTGATTGAGGCCCAACCAACAGGTGCAGTTAAGGCTATGGCATGGGCGCTTCGACTCAAACCCAGTTGCGTGTATAGGTGGCAGCACATGTTCGCCAAAAGGTAGATTGTACACTCCTTGCCTTTCTGGAAGACTTCCAACCCGGAAGTGATGTTTAACTTTGTCTCTTTCATTCCAACTGATCATGGCAATCACGGGCGCTCGGTTCTGCCAATAGGCCCTTTTAGGAATTCAGCGCCATCTAGTAGATAAAATGGGAGTTTAACCTTTGCAGTATTAATGGAGGCAACGAACCTGTACATTGCGGAGTATTCTTATCTGGCACCGTCACTTTTGTGAGTCGATGGCAAACAAGAATGTGCGCTTCGCTCACTGTACAGATATATCTTCCCCAATCTCTTTCAGTGTCGACAACAAAACAGATTCAACCGGTCGGAATGAATCATCAATTTAAACATGGACGCCTCAATAAAGTATACTATACATAAACTCATCTCTGTTACGTCACGGCGCTGTGGTGGCACATTGAGCGCACTTCCGGTCTGGGGCTGTGGGCGGAAGCGGCCATGGGGCACGTGTATCCTTGTGTTTCTTCGGAAGAAACCGGACAAAAACCTGCCTTCTCGTCAAAACGCCGCGAATGGGGCTTTACCAAAAGAGTCGGGAATGGTTTGAAAGTCAGTTTTCAAGCGTTTTCTGCCTGCTCGGTTCGTCTGAGAACGTGAACAGGGGCCGTTAAAAAAGAAAAACAGACGCCGTCGGACCACGATTGCTTGGGCGGAAAATACTTTGGATTGAATTCATGGATACTTGTGATCGTCAGATTTATTTGTTTTGTTCCAACATGAACGGGGAAAAACCGTCAAGTGTCACGGACCAAATGCGGACTACGTTCAGTGCTCCATCACGTTCAAACGGCCGCCTCATCGTTCAAGCTGTCGTCTCCTCTCTCAAGTGTTTCTGCTTGTCGTCTGCTCGTTCAAACGACAGCGGCGCGTAGACCAAACGTTGACCCGGTAATTGCGATAAGTGCAGACCTCAAAAGACATTTAAGATTGAAGGTTGCTTCGGGTAAGTAGGCTCGGTGTAAACAGTAGATAAAAGAAGATGTTGATAATTGTTAGCAGTGGCCATCACAGACTTGTTATGCCTGATTCACTCGGTCCGATTCTGCTTGCGATTTTCAGTATCGACGTCGACATCTCAGTCATGGTTCAGGCTTTTGCAGCCCGAGCGACGTCATGACTGAAAATAGCGAGCAGAACCTCACCACGTGAATCAGGCTTCAGCGTCCATTCTACGGCGTCCACGCAGTATGAATCGCCGCATGTTGCATTATTCACGCCAGTTTTGCGGTGTAACGAGCCTCGTTATTTTCGCTGAAGGCGCCACAGTAGTGGTGCAAAACTATCGATAGTATAGTCACCAGAAATCTGACTATCGATAGTAAAAAACTATTGATAGTACCATCAACAGTCGGCTATCGAAAAACTATTGATAGTACTATCGATAGTCGACTCTCGAAAAACTATCGATAGTACTATCGACAGTAGACTATCGAAAAACTATCTATAGTACTATGGATAGTCGACTATCGGAAAATTATCGTTAATCGAATATCGGGAACCGACTATCATAAACCTATCGATAGTACTGTCAACGGTTTACTATCGATAGTTTTGCGACAATAGTAGTTTGCGTCGCTCCCTCTTTTCTTTTTCTCGCTTTATTTTTTCAAATGGGACACCAACTAGCCCAAGCACTTACCATTCCAACTTTGGTTCAGCTTTCAGTGATCACAATGACGGGAGTTTGGACGCAGAGAGGAGGAAGGGAGGCGAGCGGCGGTGCGGCAACTGTGTTCGCTCTAGTGGTGCAAAACTATCGATAGTACTTTAAATAGTATCGATAGTCGCCAAAAATCTGACTATCGATAGTAGAAAAACTATCGAGAGTACTATCGATAGTCAACTATCGATAGTTCTGCAATACCGTCAATAGTTTTGGAAAAACTATCAATAGTATCGATAGTCAATTTATCAATAGTTTTGCATCACTACACCACAGTAGTCAGACATTGCCAGAAAGACGTAGAATCAACAATTCCAACGCGAAAAAGAGCGCGGGGACTCACACCGACGCCGACAACATCCCATTCTAATGGTTTGTTTATGGGCTACAGCGAGCTTCTTGCCGACACCCCCATCGCGCATGCGCGGTGTTGGTGACGTCCGCTGGGGGCGCTCCGGTTTGTTTGTAAAGATAAGTTGGTGTATACATAGAGGGGCTTTGAAGCCGATTGTGTGCTCCTAACAGATTGACCGGGCTTGAGTTAGAAATGAGCGCAGCTCTTGCATCTAAATTTTGGTTCGCTTCGCGCCAGCGTCTCGAATCTGTAGGGCTCGAATTGTCTGCTTACAAGTGCCTTTGACTTCTCTCTTCACCGGTAAAAAGAAGGCTGCCATTAGTATAGCCATAGCCTCCTCTATACAGACAAAGCCTGGCAGATCGTCACGAGGCGCGGCAGCCGAAAGTGAAGAGGTAGGGCGGCAGACAAGAGGCATGTAAACGGTGCCGCGCAGCGGCGAGACGCCGAGACACACTTGTCCCAAGCGATGGAATGTCCGCTTGTGCTTCCCGCATTCCTCGAGCTACCACTTCCTTTCTCGTCGGGTTCGAAAACCATCTTTCGGGTCCTCGCCGCCGCCGCAACAACTGTGCGCTGACTACAGACGCCCCGAGATATGCTCCGTGCTACCAGATCCTCGCACTCCAAATCTGCGACCGGGCACTCTATGGCTCCATCATCGAACTGCCAGCTCTGACCCGAATGATCAGTGGGTAGACGCGAAGCTCGCAGCCTTTGATCGTCTCTACTCACTCTTCAAATGCATTCTAAAAGTGAGTAGAGAGGAAGGCTACAAGCTTTGCGTCTACCTACTAATCCTTTCAACCTCCCCGCATGCTCTTGTCTCCCCCTTAAAGGGGCCCTGCAATCATATTTAAGCGTCTACCTTTTTTGCGGTTTCCACGTCTCTTGGGGTTCGGGCAAGCCAGCGGGCACGGAGAGAGTAACTAAATATTAGTGCGTCATATTTTAACCGGACGACGCGGAAACCTCCTCCACCGACGAGGCCAACCCGCGGTACCGAAAGCGCGCAAAATGTGACGTCTTTGGTCCTGGGCTTACCATTGGTCAGAGCCGCTAAATGCTTCTTTTTAGTCGAAATACAAAATATAAGTGGCGCGAACCGTTTCAATTATTTATAAAAGTAGTTTCTGTTCAGTATTTTAGACCAAAAAAGAAACGAATGCAGTTCATAAAGTACGGAAACAAGAAATGACCCGTCGACATCCCCGCCACCAAGTGGTGGAAAAGACAGCGCATACTAGAAAGGAATAGTGGGATCAGGCGCCGACACGAAAAGGTCCCGGATGTACGCGGCGGCGCTGCGGTCGTATGGGCAGGAGGATCCGACCGGCTCCGAGCGTTCCGAAGGCCTTCGGCGAGAAGCTTTGCCTTGCGGTTTGGCCGTTTCGCGGTATGGCAGCGCAAAGCAGCTCCCATTCTAAAGTGATCTTTACCCTGTGTTTGCTGTCGCTTGTGGCCAATGAAGTGTCATGCCGAATTAGTGTTTAATCGCGTAAAAAATGCAACGAGAGCCGCTCTGGCTGCCCGCTGCATACAGCCTTTCCAGAATACGCTTTAATGGCGCCCTCTCGCGCCGTAGACACGGAGTGCGGCAGCCGTGAGCGCTCGATGAGCTCACTACTTCTCTTCTAGTTCACGGCCACTCTGAAGCAACCAAGGATGTCATGAGGGAGGTTATTTTTTGCTTGTTTTTGTAATTTTTATTTGCCTCTAACTTTTAAAATAAAGGGAATTTCGAGAAAAGAAGTTTTACTAAGTTACTAAGTTCAGTGCGCTCAGGTTTGGTGCAAATTAAAAATTAGTAAAAAAGTCATTGCAGGGCCCCTTTAACCTCAGTTTGTACGCACAAGGGCGCCAGTCGTAGAATACATTCCGCTATAAAAAGACGATAAAGGAAAAATTCCCGTGCCTGCTGCTCGATGTCCAGGTGCAGCTGCCCTTCACCGAGGAGGTACATCAGGACGACAACTTCGGGGGGTCGCGTGTCGTCGTTTACCACCCGCATCACCAGCAGCGAACGCTTGAGGGCGTTGGACTGGTCCGTTTGGTCCTTCTCAAAGACGCTGGCGTTCTCTTCAAATGTTGGCAACACACCTGGGGCAGAAACCAGAAAATCATTGCAATTCCAAAAACGTTTCCTTTTTTTTTTTTTTTTTTTGCTTTTCAAGTTAAGGAGATGCAATGTTTGCTAGGTCTGCCTTCGAATGGCGTGATGTGTGGAATCCGTCTGCAAGACGTGGGCCGGAACGTAGGCCTTGCGCGCAATAAAGTTTTGCTATCTCTCTCTCTTTCTTTGGTAGCACCCAATGACGAAGACCAATAAAAGCCACAAAGTACATGACAAGAGTCACCAATGGCTCGAAAAATGCAAGGCGTAGCTTTTAAGCTCACGCTCAATGCTCCGTTCCTTGGCATGCTTATCGGCGAATGCTGCATTGACTGTGCAGCGATAAGGAGATGTTCAATGTAGTGCTCTTCTTCGACGACAGATGGTGGCACTTGCCACCATCTATCCCATTGAGTATTAGTGTTTCTGCTCATTGACAGATGGCGCCACAGTCCCATCATCTGTCGTATTTCCGCTTTGTGTTTTCCTCGTTTTGTGTTGTGACCCATAAAGTCAGTTCTATCATTGTCCACACCTGAATAGGTTGTCTCTGAGCCGAACGTTTCACGACTGTCCGTTCGTTCAGCGGTGACCACCGGTGGCTAGCGACAAAGTCTACAGCCAGGGTCTTGAGATTGTAAGCCGTTCACCGGGCGCATTGGTTGGCTTTCATTCGGTTTTTGGGGCTCCTTCACTAGGCTTAGCGGGTAATTACCACTCGGCACACTTTCACCCCGCTCGACTCCTGTGGTGTTTCAGACTGAGCCCCGAGCATGCAGGAGCACTGTCCTGGAAACGAAATGGCTACGAGGATGGGGCTTGACGAGACCCGTGTGTAGTAATTTGATACTATCGGTTTATTTAATTTTAGGGCTAACCACTGCGAGATGCGTCTTTTTTAAAGAGTAGCGCGGGGCCTTAAAATTAAATAAAACCGGTATTATCAAATTACTACGCTCAGGACTTGTTAAACCTTGTCATTGACTATAAAAGTGGCTTAGCCAGGGTTCCAGCCCCCCCCCCCCCCCTCCTCCTCCTCCTCCTCCTCCTCCTCCCTCCCCCCCCCTTGCATCCAAGTAATGGACATCCCAGGCACCTCAGCGCACGCACGGACCCCCACTCGAAAAAAATTCCTGGCTATGCCCCTACTGTACACTACTGACAATGGTAAATTGACACACACAAACAAAACGCAGTGGGGGCACAGGTCTCACTGTGTTTTGTTTGTGTGTTTTTGTTTGTCTTTTTTGACACCGTAGCTGGTGTAAGTTTACCATTTTTGTTGAAACACCTGAGACCAGGTGGGGAAAAAACTGGAAACAATCAAAAGTAGAAGAGACAGGGAAAGAAGTCAGTCAGACAAAGTCTTACATGATGGGGAAAACAGCTCAGAAAAAGCAGACCACAAAGAGCAAACGCAACAGTACAATACAGCATTGTCCTGCCCTGTTTGTTCTTCTTTGTAGTCTGCGTTTTCTGAGCTGTTTTCCCCATCATGTAGGACGTCAACCAACTGGCCCAGTTTGCCACTTTATTACAGACGACGTCCTTTGCGACATTGTCTGGCAGACTTCTTTCCGTCTCTTCTACTTTTGGTTGTTTCATGTTTTTTCACACCCAGTCTCAGGTGTTTTAACAAAACAGTAGACACACAAACAGTTGATCTTGTTTCTTTAGTAATACTAGCGCCAAAGTACAGATGGACGATTAGCTGGTCCCTATAGATGAATGAGGTATGTGCGGGCTTAACATGAAAAAACGTGAATCTGCAGAAACATGGTTCAGGGTCAGTGTACCATAATAAACTCGCAGGGTCACAAGGGCAACCAAACAAGACTACGAGACCTTCTGTATAACAATGTGAAATAATGTGACTGCAGACTGTATGCAAGAGCTTTGCGCTATAGTATGACGCAGGTTAAGAACAGCAAAAGAAGCCCCTTCCACAAAGCTCTCGGCCCACCAGTTTCCTCCTCTCCAATGGTTACTCTTTAAAAGTGAAACGTGTTGAGGGCTTCGTGGAAGAACTTGTCCTCCAACCCTTAACCTGCAATGAACTACAGCGGGAATGCGTGCTGACCCTTTGCGAGTTCCTTGTTTTTGGTTCTGGCATGCAGAGTTTGAAGTATATAATCAAAGCGGTTCGTGTCACCACAGATAAACGTCCATTTCATTTTATTCCACGTAGCACAAGAACATTCTGAGAACATTCCGGAAATGCTCAAAAGAACATAGGCAACATTCTTGGAATGTTGCAAATTTACGCAAGAACATTCTGTCAACGTTGTCAGAATGTGGCGCAGGCACTTATCGCTACATTCGGGTAATGTTTTCTAAGGGACATATTCTTAGAATGTTCTGAGAACGACTTAGAACATTACCAGGACATTCAATCAACATTCAAACACCATAACAAGGTTCTAAGAATGTTTTCAGAACATACAAAGAACTTCTGAAACTTTCTTGAAATAATGCAAAATTTTGCAGGGACATCCTTTCAATCTTCTTGGAAGTGGTGTGGGTACATCGCTACATTCAGAAAACATTCTCTGAGGACTATTTACAAAGATTCCACAATTAGGCTCGCTCAGGCTACAGCCCCAATGAGCCGCACCAGATATATGGATATGAAAAAGCTCCTCACAGGGCAATATTTTTAATCGAAACAGATTTTTACAAGGTGCAAGCACAAGCTAGCCGCTTTCCCAGCACACCTGCCTCAGCATGTACTACTTGTCACTTGCGAACCTCTTTCATTCAAAATGTGTTGTATACAAAACCGATTATTCACTGCGAGCTTAAGAACATGACATCCCACATTCAACTGGAAATACTTTTTTCAAAGTTTTAATCCCCGGATACTAAAAATCTGGTCCATTTAAAACTGTCCCTCTACATATGCAGTGAGTGCCAAGTTCATTATAAAGTTCTTAAAACCACTGCTTTTCTCCTACACCTTACATTACATTCCTCAGTAAACTCATATAAGATAAAACTGATCCCTGACGCTAAGTTTCCAGACCTCCACTTAATTTGGATATTTTTGGCACAAAGTGGATGGTGTTTCGAACCACAGGTTGTGTGAGAGCTCCGTAAAGTTGATGTAACCTGCGAACATTCTAGGAATGTTCGCAAACGAACGTTCCAAGAATGTTGTGGATACGAATGCTCGAAAGGAAACGTTCCGAAAACATTTTGCATATGAATGTTCGCCAACGAACATTTCTAGAATGTTGAGCAGCTTACCTTGTAGGAAATTAATGTTCGCATATATGAACATTCCTAGAATGTTCCGAATGGTGTTTTAATGTTCCTTCAACATTCAGATCATCCAGGGAACGTTTGCACAACATTGGGTGCCACTTGGGATACGATGGACAGCGGAGGACTCTACGAGCCATCGAAGCCAATTGAATGTCGCGCGGCTGTCATGTGAACACAGCGCTTTCACCGACGTCATTTGGCCCACCATTTTGCTGTCATGAGCTGTCTGGTGTGTGCCGACGGCGAGCATTTCAAGGATTCACACGACGCTTCAAATGCGTAGTGCTACGAAGCTTACAAGACTCACCACGCTGACATCTCCTCAAGAGGTAATCTTTTAAATCAATAAAAGTTTCGAAAGCAAACTAACAAAATGACACGTGGGGCGTGACACGTGACACGCCCCACGTGTCACGTGGGGCGTGTAGTCTAGCTCGTGATATGTTCACGGTGTTGCATTGGCTATGGTGCCTCGTAAGATCCGCTGCAGTCCCTCCCTCTCCCTCACCCTCACCTCACCCCTCACCCCCCCCCCCCCCCCCCCCCCCCACACACACACACACACAACAGGCATAAAATAATGAACACGATTTAAAAATCACCAGGCTTGGGCATTCTGACAAATGCAATAAGGATGCGACCGAACTAATATACGCAGTTCCTACCCTACGGGCCTTGCTAAGGTTTGTTACGGTGCGACCAACACGAGCGAGCAAGGTCCGTGAGGAGTTCCCATACAATACAAATGATGATTACAAATTCAATTTAAAGCATCAGCTTCAAAACTAATCTGATGTTTAATCACCGTCACTTCACATGTCGTGCTGCCACGGAAAACGTTAAACGCAAACTCGGTTTAGACCTCGCAAAAACAGAAGCAGACGAAAACTAGCAGAAATTGTGTTGACACTCACCGAGCAACACTTTCCAAACGGTGAATCGGTGAATCGCTGGCAAGCAGAACTTTCGGCAGAAGTTAGACAGCTTCTTCAGGTCTATCGGCTTCTCGCTGAGCAATATTTCTAGAGATTTGTTACCGCGAAAACCTACTTTGTCGTAGTATTGCGCGCGGAAATTCTCAGTTGCCATGGCTGACATGACAAGCAACCAACCTGTGGAGCTCACTGTGGTGGCGCTGTGCCTGTGTTGCTATGCGGTCAAAGCCAACATGTGGGTACTAGGCGCACGTGGCGCACGGCGCTCGAGTACTTTGAATTAGAGCGATATTACCAAAATGACATTCCCAACCACTGTTCGCACTCCTGTCCCGTTTTCGAACGGCGACGACGCGGGTATCGGACAGCGGCAGCGGCGGCAGCGGCGGCGGCGTCTGCGGCACGGCGCCGGATATTCGTTTGCGGCGGTGTGCTGGCGTTTTGCGTCGACGGCGTCGGATTGCGCGTAATTCGAAATCGAAGGGCGATCGAAAGCCCATTTGCGAGCGACATGACCAAAGCGCTAGATGCCCACGCCTTTAGTGCGGTAGACAAGGATGCAGTAGATGCGAGAACGCGCTTCTTTGCATGTACTTTCTGTATTGTGTATATTCTGTACATATGTCTGTTATGTTTTTTCACATGTGGTGGCGGGCTGGCAGGCGCTCTGCGTAAGGGTTTTTCACCTATCTGCCTAGCCCCGCACACCACCACATGTACCCACTCCAGTATGTGCAAATAAAATTATTATTATTATTATTATTATTATTATTATTATTATTATTATTATTATTATTATTATTATTACTATTATTATTATTGTCTAGAAAGTTTATAACAACAAAAAGTACTTCCGCGCAGCAGTTTGAGTCGCATGACACAGCGCAAGAGTGTTGAAGCTAGGGCCCTAGCTTCAACAATAGCGTCGTTCGATTTTCCTGCACTTCCTGCACCGGTGCATAGAAGCGCAGAGCGGTGAACTACCGAGTTACGGTCGTATCTCAATGCACATAACGGAGGCATACACTGCCTTACACGTCTCTGCACTGGTGCAGGATGTGCAGCTAAATCCAACGAAGCCACTGTTGCGCTGTAAACAGTATACATAGCCAATATATATATATATATATATATTTTTTTTTTTTTTTTTTGGGGGGGGGGGGGGGGGGGAGGGGGTGGCTGAGGTGGCTGGGATGTCCATGACTTGCGGTGTGGAGTGGGGGAAGGGGGATAAAAATGCATGTGTACATGTTATTTGCGCGATTACAACCTCACACTTTCTAATAACAACGTGGTCGGAGACTAGTTACGTCTACATACAAGAACCCAGGTAGCATTCACTTTTTGTTTGATTTAAAATTGCCTTAGATATTCAATCTCACTTTTGCATTCGTTAACCGCTCTCTTGGTCTCATTAGGTGCAACATTAAACAGGCACCCACTCAGTGGCGTATCAACTTGTTTTTGAGTGGGGGGGGCAAACCAACCCCCTTCCCTCCCCCCCCCCCCCCCCCCCCCCCCCCTCCCTCCGGGTCGCATATGATATGGGCCGAACTTTTGCCGAATCATGGGATTCGGCGGAGCTTTTCTAAAGATTCGGCAAAAATACACTGTTCATCATCATCATCATCATCATTCATCATCATTTATTTTCCTTGAGGGCCCGTGGGGCATTATACAAGGGGGTGGCAATAGAACAAAAACAAATAGAACAGTAAACACAATTATAATACTGTAAGCTAGCTAGGTAGGTTAGATAAAGAGAGGGTAATGGCTTCAACAAATTTAGTAGTATCACTAATACAAACGATGTTATGAGGTAGTGAATTCCAATCCTCGACGGCCAATGATAGTGTGGAAGTCTAGTGAGAAACAGTTGATGATCGAATTGAACGCAATTTACATAGGTTATCTAGACGCGGGAAAATACGAGGGGGGTGATAGCAGTGATTCTTTGAGATAGATATTGTGATAAAAATATTCGATGGAGGAGAGAAAGACGTGATACTTGGCAGCGAAGGGAAAGTGAATGAAGGTTAGCTGATTGGCGTAATTCTGATATGCTGGTATAGTGAGTAGTTGCTATAAATAAAACGAAGGGCTCTATTTTGGACGGATTCTAGATTATTTGCAAGGTAGGACTGCCATGGGGGGACCATATAGATGAGGCGTATTCTAACTTCGATCTTATAAGAGTAGCATACGCTAGTCGTTTTACGGAGGGTGTAGCAAGTTTAAAGTTACGGCGCAAATATCCAAGAGAACGGTTAGTACCGGAAATAACAGAAGTTACGTGAGTAGTCCATGATAGGTCAGAGGTGAGATGAACACCCAGGTTTTTATATGATTAGCTTGCTATTACTTGAGTGTTAGGTAACTCAAAAATGGTGTGGCACGCGAACTGCGTGAAAATGATAGGGATCTACATTTATTGAAGTTTAACGTCATCTGCCATTTTTAACACCAATGGATTACACACTCAAGGTCTTCCTGGTGACCATGATGATCATAGTATAAAGAATGGGTCGGTAAATGACACAATCGTCGGCGAAAAGGCGCACAGAAGAAACTATGTTAAGGTGGAGATCATTACTATAGATTGGGAACAGAAATCCCCGGAATTTCTCCCTCGTGTGAATTCGCCCCTAAAAGGAAAGAAAAGAAGGGGGAAAACATGTATCACATTATGACGAGGATGCCACCTGCATACCATACATTCTGGCAAGCTCTCGTGACTCTGCACCGTTTGACGGCAGTGGGCTGCGCACACTGAGCGAAATTGTCAGTTGTCAGTCGATGTTTCAACTACCTCGTTTCATCAATGGAAACGTCAAATGAAAATCACGTTATCCAGAATGCATCACATCATTTGTCACTTGCGCAGTGGACTGCGTAAATTACTGGTCGATGTTCTGTTCTTGAGGCAGAAAATATTGAAGAGAACCACACTCGCGAAAGCTCACAAACGCACAGTTACCGTGTCGCCTACTCCACACCTCGCCGTAACCGCTGGTTGTACTAAACTGTACGATGGTCACCGCGCGAATGCGCGGCGTCCATTTGCGATCCATGGCCCATCGCGCTCGTGCGCGTGCGCAAAAATTTGGTGAATTTTTGCCGAATTTTCGCCGAACTTTCCTTCTAAATTTCGACATGTGCGGAATTTTGCCGAATCTGAAGTTCGGCAGATTCGGTCCATCACTAACTTTTACGGCGCAGGAAATAGACACCCTAGCAACGACGCTCACGCCGGATAGGCTGCTCGGCAACGCGCGGGAACTTAAATTTCGGCCTCGGACAGCGCGTGTATATAACCCCCCCCCCCCCCCCCTTCTCCCGCCTGCGTTCACGCCGCTTCACGGCGACAGTGTGCGGCTGCTAATTACAAAACTATTAACCCACTTAGCCCTCCCCCCCTTCTACCCCCGTAAACGCCGCTTTGCAGCCGGCAACCCAAGTCCCGCTGTCCGCCATGCACATCTATAAATAGAGTCCCATACGATTTAGTTCAGCGATGTTTCGTCGACAACATTTTTCTTTTTTAGTGTTAATCGTAAAAAAGAAATGTCGTAAATACCGCCAAATGCCTCGACAAAACAAAATGCTGAGGAAAAAAATAAATAAAAAAGATGCCCACACCCTGGTTAGAACCTGGGTCTGGGTCTGCTACATATGAGGCAGACATCTTACAACTAAGTTACGATACCGCTTCGGAAACTCGCATTGTAACCACTGCCTATGTTGACGGCGGCAGCGCTTATCTCCACGAACCAGGCAATCCGGCGTGAGCGCTGTTGCTAGAGTTTGTATCGCCTGCGCGTTAGAAATATCCCCCCGCGGGTCGGGGGGCGGTGCCCTTGGTATTCCTTGGGCGCCGCCGGCCAGTGTTTGCCCTGCCCAGTGGCGGCTGGGGGGGGGGGGGGGGGGGGGGGGGCAAAACACATGCCTTGCCCCCCCACTCTGAGAACTGGGGGGGGGGGGGCAAGCGCCCCCCTTGCCCCCCCGGTTGGTACGCCCATGCTGACCCACTGACTTAAAAAAAAGTGCTACATCAAACTAACCCGCCATAAACTTTAACATGCTTCTGCCATATGGGATTCTGACCAGGCGCACAACAGTGCTGCTCGCTTCGTTTAATTTTCTCAGATTAATCGCTTTCCACTGGCAGAAAATTAAAATATCATGCCTAGTTACAAGACTTACCACATCACGGGACACTTGCTCGTCTATCACTGTTGACAAATTTGATCACCACCATGGATAGCTGCACGGTGATTTCGGTAGTTTCATACTGGTCCCCAAACCCCTGTCCGCGGATAGCCGTAGTCTTGACGCGCTGCCCGCGGCCAGCTTCCAGCGAAGCCTGCTACAACTACCAACGCAAAAAATAAACGCGTTAAAAAAAAATGGCGTTGTGACGCTTATTAAACGCTCACATGAAGATAGCAGAAAAGACTAGAGTTATATATTTCGTTTTATTTTTCTGCTTTACATTTCCATATCTATATTCCGGCCCTCGAGACTGAGACCGACCTCTAATCCGGCCCCTTAGCCAACACGTTTGGAAACGCCTAGCCTTCACGAAAGTAATCCCTGGAGAAGGAGAACAACAGGGACAAAGGACAAACACAAAACTCCCAACAACAGCTAGGTGACTGGTGCGCGACCGAAAAAATCCGCCTGGTCCGGGTATCGAACCAGGGACCTCTCCATTTCCAGTGGAGCGCTCTACCAACTGAGCTAACCAGGGGTTAGATGTCAGTAGAAAAAACGGGTTTTTATCAGCTGCCACCAGTCTAACACCAACAAGGGTGAAGCTTGCATTTAAAGACTATGATTATAATGCCATTAAATGCAAAGGTGCAAGCGAGCTGGACAAGAATGACGAAAATAATCCGTGGAGAAGGGGGAGAAGAGGGACGAAGGTCAAACATAAAACTTTAAACAACAGTTAGTGTAACTGGTGCGCGACCGGAAAAATCCGCCTGGTCCGGGTATCAAACCCGGGACCTCTTCATTTCCAATGGAGCGCTCTACCAACTGAGCTAACAAAGGGTTAAATGTCAGTAGAGAAAACGGGTTTTTATCAACTGCCACCAGTCCAGCCCGCTTGCACCTTGGCATTTAATTGCAATATTATCATATTCTTAAAATGCAAACTTTACCCTTGTTGGTGTTAGACTGGTGGCAGCTGATAAAAACCCGTTTGCTCTACTGACATCTAACCCCCGGTTAGCTCAGTTGGTAGAGCGCTCCACTGGAAAAAGCGAGGCCCCGGTTTCGATACCCGGACCAGGCGGATTTTTTCGGTAGCGCACCAGTCACTTAGCTGTGTTTGGAGATTTGTGTTTGTCCTTTGTCCCTCTTGTTCCCCTTCTCCAGGGATTATTTTCGCCATTCTTGTCCAGCTCGCTTGCATCTTTGTATTGAATTGCATTATTACCTCACCCTTAGCACAATGATACAAAAAAAAAGGGGGGGGGGGGGCTTAGCGCAGATTGCTGATTTTCTCCAGGACCTAATATTTTACGAGCCTTATACGAAAGTCATGTTTTTACCAAAAACCTTGTGTACGCGTTTTTCCTTTTTACGGCAACATGGGGCTTATATGACGTCTTTCAGGCACTTCACTTTCCCTCGTCGGGATCACTCATATGAAGTTAAACGCATCACATGCCACTCATCTCGTTATGCGTAGTCATTCATACTACGAAAATAATCGATCGGAATAACCAACAATTACACATGACTACTGAAGATGATCTAACAATATTTTATGAACACATCTGCAGCGATAATCACATCAAGTTTTTTGCCTTGTCATATTTGTCTGCATTTTACTTATGTTTATCTTATGCATCTTTTTTTTTTGTGCATGTTTTGTACATTTTGTGCTGCCCTCATGTTTACATGACTTGTTATTTAATCACTTTTTGGTTCATTCTTCTGTTCTTTTGAACCCCCCCCCCCCTCCCATTATATAATACTATCCCGTGAACGGTATTTAAAGTAGTTTTAAAGATTGAACAGTTACAAGGAAGTGTTTTTTATGGGTGTCGGTTTGTTTTGCATAAGATTTTGACGTTGCTACCTTGCACCACACATGGTAGGCGATACGCCTATCAATATTGTGCAAGGTAGTAATTATAGCAGTATTGGTTTATAATACTGACACTACTCGCCTCGTCGAAGCTGTAACAAGAACGGTAAAAATAAATCAACAATGAAGAGCTACTACCATGCATTCTCTAGTACCCCGAGGGCCGACGGCATTACAGAGGGAACTGGGTTGTACGAAGAATAAACTTCCATACGGCACGACAAGGGCAAGACACACATCAGGCTACGACACTGTGCTAAGGTTAATACTGGTCCGGAGTCGACATGCTTAAATATTGATGCGTTTTTCCCCCTCCGGGTCGTGCATTATGACTAGACTTTCACGTGACGTATTTTGTGAAAGATATTGGCTGATGATTTATGTATAATGCAAGTTTCTCTGTGAGATCAAAAAGCAGGCATTTGTCAAAGTGTGCTGCGCATGTGCATTTATACGTGTAAACGCTATCTAAGCCATTTTTTTTCCTTTCAACAATACGGTAACAGTGAACGATTATTGAGCGCGCTGAATTGTGGAGAGGGATGCGGGAGTGGCGGTTCCATCCTAATCAAATTTTCGCGGAATGAACGACTGCTAGTATTTATTATGTGCATACCTTAAGGTATGCACCTGTTTTATTCTATATATAGAATAAAACAGGTGCATACCTTATAGAATAAAATAGAATAAAATAAAATAGAGAGGTCGTGTAAAAATTATGTTTACCCTGAATGATAAGTTAGTGTGAAAGATCTCATAAAAGAGGCACAATCGAGAAATTATGAAAACCAGACATTTTTAGGTCTCCGAACGGTCCACAAAAGTTTTGCATGCTGTTCTGAAGATTATACTATATCTGAAAAAAATATACTTATATACTTCACGGGTCGCTCATCTTCAAAACAATATGTTTATCATTTGCGTCAGTTTATTTTACCATGAATAAAGAACTGCTCACGCCCAAAATCCCCCCCCCCCCCTTTCCCTGTTCATTGCTTACAATGCAGGCTTTACCAAAACGTTGGTTTTAATCACAATGGAGAGCAAGGATCAAGATGATTGAAATATGAATCTACATCACATCGGTTTTACTATATGATAAGAATCAAACCCTTCCCGCGAAGATAATCCTGAATCTTGTTTTACTATTTGTCTAATATGTAATGCTTTATGCGATGTACGCGTATTTGTTTTTTATTTAAAGCGAATAATCATCAAGCAAGAAATATTTATAACAGTCTGGACATCAGCAAAAATTGGTTTTCTTCTAAGCAGATCGGAGTACGTAGTGCCCTATTGCAAGCAAATCAAAATGCGAAAAAAAAAGCATATACACCATAGGGATGGGCAAAATAATTTTAAAAAAATGTATCGAAATACAAATACAAAATACTTCAACAAAAATGTATTTAATTACAAATCCAATTACATTTGTAGACAAGTATTTAAGTACAAGTACCAATACAACGAGAGTATTTTATAATCTTCAAATACTTTTAGAAATGCATTTTGTTCCCGTAGTCTGACATCTTGCACATAAATATACCCCCCCTCCCATTTTCCACACACATACACAAATAGACGCTGGTCAAATACATGAGATCCTCGAGTATAACGTCAGGGAACACAATGCACTATGAGTTCAGTCTCAAAGGCTCCTTTGAAGCAATAAAGCTTCTTAATTAAAGCAACACGTCGCTAATGCGACGTCTGAGAAATTAAATTTGTCAACCAAAAAGTCAGTATATGTACCCATCCCGTTCATTCCTTGTTATAGTGTTCTTTTTTTTTTTTTCCCCTTCGATGTTTAGTTTCGCGCTTTTTGCATATGACGATCCCACTGCGAAGAGTCCCTACGCATTTGATTGCAAAGAGCAGCGCCCAAAATTGTTTTGGCATTATCTGAAATACAAGTATTTGGAATACATTGTCAGTTTTTAAATACAATTGACAATTACGTTCTCCAATCTGTAATTAAATACGAAATACAAAACGCCTAAGGCATTTTAATTACGTATTTTAAATACCTGTATTTCAAATACTGCCCATAAGACCCGCAGAGAGAGAGAAAGGGGGGGGGGGGGGGGGGGCTTCTCAGCGGCATTTACTGAAAGAACGGAAATTGTTGCATCACGCCTTTAAGGGTGCTTCTTTTTTGTTTCTGGCTCCTCCCCCTCTTTTGTTTTTAAAACGCATGTTGGGAATTCCTCGAATCCTTGTCTTGTTATCTACCCGCCAATCGGAGGATATGACGCAGAAAAGCGCCCCGATAACGATTGGAGTGCCCGCGCTATCGCGTCGCCGTTCGAACGTCAACGGACGAGCCTCGGGCGCTCGCCACGCGGAACCGACGGTATACACCCGAAACGACAAGGCCGGGCGATGCGGGGCTTCGCGCTTCTCGGGATATTAGCTACCTGCGCCATCTTGGTACACCTGTCCGACGACGCTCTCGGACAGGAAGACAACACGCCACAGCCGCCGGGCCCGGTCTGCCCGTGCGGCAACCGGACGCTTTGCGACATCGTCAACTCCACAAAGCAGGAGGTAAGTTTAATGTTATATAGTTTCCTGGATTGTTTTTGGCGTGATGCCAGATCGGATCATGTTTGTGACGTCAAATCGCAAACTCTCCACACATATACACCACACACACACACACATACAAAAAGAAAAAGATACGTTTGCAAGTACGGCTTCTGGTCGCCGCCACCTTGATGCTGTGGGCAAATCGTCCGATAGTCAAGCATTGCTGAGGCCGGGAGTACGCCTCAGCAATGCTGGACTATGAGACCATCTACCCCCACCGGCAACAAGATGGCCGGCGCCTCGGGTCCGTATTTGCAAACGTCTATAGTTTTACGCAGTACACTCGAAAAGTCAATATCACGGCAATCAGCAAAGGCAGCTCGGCAAATGGTAATATTGAAGATATGTATACACGAACCATTAGTTATGAGTGTGGGACACTGAGCACGACGTTTCGCGCGATCACGTATCCTTAATTTTTCGGTCTATATAGAGAGACCTTTCCGGCGGCAGTCTCGAACGAAGCGAGCGGGGAAAAAATGCTGACTCACTGAGCTGTGGACGCGTGCGCAGCGTCCGATATACCACACAGCAGATCAACTGCGCATGCTTGGAAGGCGTTCCACAGCCCAGCAGACAAAGATGGCAGCGCGCAGAAGGCGATTTCTGCAAAGGTCTATAGACCAACGCGCAAACGAGGCCCGCGTTTGCCTACAAGGGGCGAGACCGCAGCGCGTGCGCAGAAACCAGATTCGTGCAAGGCGAAGCATCTGCGGAGGGCGTGGCTCATTATACGTTTCCGCTTCTTGTTTCGTGATTGGTTCTTCGGTCGTCCTTGTCGGCGAATGCCGCAATCTGATTGGCTAGTGGTGAGATAATGAGATGCGACCGGGAGCTCGCTACGCCCTGCGTTTCTCCAGCTGTCGCCGACTATAGGTTGTTTGCACATGACGTCAATTCGCCATTTTCTTGTTAGTTTGTTTTTTTAAAGAAATTTACTGCATTGAAGAATTACATCGTAACCGATTGAGATGATGTCAGCGGTGCTCAACGCATTTGAGGAGCATGTAAATCCTTGGAATACTCGAGTTTGTCACACCCAGACAGCTCACAACAACAAAATGGTGGACAAAATTACGTCAGTGAAAACACCCTATATACGGACGTATATCGGCATCATAACTTCTTTCGGAGGTTGCAGTGATTGGCTGGCTACCCGTGGGCTCCGTGGGACAGGTGACGCACGGACATTCTTTTACAGCGGTATATATGTACGCGGGCAATGCCGGTGACCATTTGATTTACCATCACCCTAGAATAAACGTGTGTTCGCTTTCCTGCAGAACGCGAGAGAGCCAATCACGGTCTAGAAAGATCCCGACGAATGACAAAACTCAAAATACGAATAGATCCGAAAAACATTACGGCTCCAATCCACGCTGTGAAGGTAGTTGGATAGCGAAGCTGTGGCATCACCTGCAACGATTGCTCACTGCACTACAGACCATTTTCGTGGCAAACGCCACCAGGTGGTGCTCCAGTCGTTGACGTGCCAGGGAACTTCCGGTTTATAGAAAAAATAAACAAAGGCCACCTTAGCACCGCTGCTTGAAATGTAGATGAAATATTTAACCACCAACTTTCCAGGTGAACGTCAAAAGAACGAAGGAGTTCGAGATCTGTTAAAGTGTTTCGAGTATTCTTGTAAACTAACTTGCCTCCTCCAAGATGTAATATTGTGCAGCCCAAGGCCCTCGTTCAATCTCCAACTTCGATGTCCGTGCAGCATTTATGCTTTCTAGCACTGGTGACATAAGCAAGCTCCACAGGCTTGCAAAGACTGTGCAACCGGAAGTCGCTTGGGACGCGAGCGGCAGTTCATGTTTGTAAACAGCAAAAGAATCTATACCAAATAACTGAAAGAAATGTAAATGCACTGTACTGTACCAAAACTTTTTTTTTATATATGAAAGGCTTCGTACGCTGCCATTGCCGCGGCAGGTAACCGCGAGCTTTACCGAGAGACGCATCCGGGGGAGCGCTACGTGCTTCGCTCTGTTAGCGGGGCTAGCGGCGTCTTTCCACACTTGTGCTCTGCCATTGCCGCGGCAGCTTGCAACCGCAATTGTTACTGAGAAACGCATGCGGGGAGCGCTTATATTCTATGACGTGGTTTTGACCTGTTTTGTGGTTTTTATATTGAAGCAAGTGTAAAAATCAAGTGATAAAAGATAAGGTGCGCGCGAACGGTGATAAGGCGCGCGATGATTTCCTGTCGACGGACAGCTTCGCTGTAAAAAAAGAAACAAAAAAATGCAACGATCGCAGGGACAGTGAGCAAGTGAAACGTCACGCGTGCACTGTCCTTTACGTTAGCTGGAATACTTCTATTTATCGCCGTGATTGGCTGCCTCGTGTTCTGCGGGAAAGTGACCTTAAGACGCGGTCATGCTGCTCGAACATCGTACAAGAGGCACGGTATTTTGGCTGCAGACACGATGGCAGAAGTATCTGAGGTCACGCCTGAAGCACGTTCTGTATCATCGCTTGCTTCGTCCATATGTACATGTCTGGAGGCAGTTTCTGTTTGATCAATGTGACAAGGAAGAAACAGGCCCCAGACAGTGTTGGCGGACTGTCATGACTTGTTTGTAGATATGATGTATTAGCGGCGTGACCTCGGCTTCACGGTCACAGACCGTTTCTAGGTGTTGCCAGAGAGATAACACCGATTGTAGCAGCTCCAAATAGATCCTCTTCATAAGTATACACGCCATGCGCGCGTTGTTTTGGCACCTACTCTGAAAATATGAATTGGACACGAAGGCTGCATCAGCGTTCGGCGTGAGCTCGGTTCGGCTCGTGTCCAATACGAGTGCCGCGTCATCAGCGTTCGGCGAGGAACTCGGATCCAATCAGACGCTTCGTGCCCGTGATGGGTGGATGGATGGATGTTTGGTTAACAGCCGGTAGCTTGCGCCACGTAGCCTCACTCTAAAAAAAAAGGGTGTCATGGGATACACCCAAAGGGGGTGTAAGTGCTTGTCGCATATACTGCACCCTTTGGGGGAATACTTGTACACCCCAAATATGAAAGTATGTGTACACCCGTTGGTGTGGTGCACATGTACACCTTTTTCTACAGAAATGTCACTCGAAGGGAACACAGGTACACCCCATTCAATGGTGTACGGCTGCACCTCTTTCTACACCCAATGAAATGAAAGGAAACACAGATGCACCCCATTCGAAGGTGTACCATTGCACCGCCTCATACACCCGCCTTATTCAAAGGGAACACAGGTGCACCCCGCTCAATAGTGTACCATCACTCCCCTTATAGGGAGTATTCACTGGCGGCCATATCCGTGTGCGCAGCTGCTGAGCGCGTGCTGTCGGCGAGCTTCCGCAGTCCTTTTGGAGCGTGCATTTAGCACCATCAAGGTCTTGGCAGGCTATTAATATGAGTTCGTTGTGAGCGTGCGCTCTAAACATCGCCCTCAAATATGGCGTTCAGTGAATACCTCCTATACTGCTCTCAAAGGGAACACAGGAGCACCCCGTTCAATCATGTACTGCTACACCTCTTTCTACACCCACTGAATTCGAAGAGAGCACAGATGCACTCGATTCAAAGGTGCATGGTCACACCACTTTATGCACCCGCTTTAACAACCAACTTCATAAACCTATTCAAGACATGAAAGAAACCCCCTTAAAAATGTATGCGCCCCGGTGAGTGCAAAACGGCAGGTAAACGGACACACGGGATTGTTTTCAAATCTCATAGAAGTTTATTAGGCAGCCAATTCCGTAAACAAGTACAACTTGCAAGCAATTCATGATACGCGAAGAGGTACGAAAAAGCTGTTACGCAACTGAGAAGATTACTAAGCAAACAGGAACCAGGGGTGAGTCTTAGGTAGCGTCTATTCTCGCAGCAACCGGCAGAATTATTTCCACGAAATTCCACCGGCAGTCGCCATTCGTTCATCGAACGACGTTTCATCGACAGCTCAGATTAGCTTTCCTATATTATCTTCTCTTTTTTGTTTCTTGTAATGAGCCGCCCCAGAGTCACGGTGTAAGATACACTCTTTAGGTGAGGACACGACGGGGCTAAACGGGCGGCGCGAGGAATCAGATAGTGGTCGTTCGACGGGCATCCGAAAGGTTGCATCATTCCGTTGCTACCGTGCCCGCAGCTGACAGTGTCGCCGGCGGCCAAACGGCGAAACTGTGTGAGAGCGAAAACAATGATCTCGTTGCCATGACACCCCGGTACACCGTGGTCTTTCTGCACGTGCGACAACCTTGCTGGAGCTCTGCGCGTGTGGTACATGAGGCGGCACGAGCCGTTTTGTACGTGCCCGCGGGTCGACGAGTCACCTGCAGGCGCCGCTTGAAACCATAGTGAGAGAGATTGAAGAGCGAACTTTATCGGGCACGTCGCGAGGAGCGCGCTGTCTTCACCTAAAGAGTATTATCTTACACCGTGCCCAGAGTGTACCCGCGAAGTGACGTGTACAGGTGGGACAGGTGGGTTAGCATTTTTGTAATGAGCCGCCGCAGACTGTCGCCACGAAGCGGCGTGAACGGGTGGTCTGGGTCGTTGAGCACGCGCCTCAAAAATACACGCGCGACAAAATGTCCGTACAGCGTGCATTTCGCGTAACGAGTGACGATGAAACGTTAGGGTCGATGAAACTTGTCTACACAACGTGTATCAACGAAAACGTGTTTTCACAAATCGCCGGGAGAATAATACCCGTGCCACACGGGCAACTCGAATGCCATTTACAACGAATGACATTTGTGTGATCGGCGAATCAGCTCGCAATCTGTCGCGCGTGAAATGCGCTACGCCCGGAGTGTCGCGCGCTGATCAGTGGCGAATCCAAGGAGGGGGGGGGGGGCGCCCCCCCCCCCCAAACAAAGTCGACCTCCCTCCCTCCCCCCTTCTCGAACGGCAATTTGACATTGACCTCCCTTGCGCAAGAAAGAATGGGAGAATAGTATCCTTAAAATTTTTCCGCCCCCCCCCCCCCCCCAAAAAAAAAACAAAAAAAAAAACAACAGAGTTTTGGATCCGCCCCTGGCGATGATTGGCCGTCCGCTCAAATGTCATTCGTTGTAAATGGCATTCCAGTTGCCCGTGTGGCACGGGTATAAGTCACTATTCTACCTGCAGTCGTCACATGATTGTAGATAGCTAATGGCAGGCAATTGCCGATAGAATTTCGCGGAAATTATTCTCCCGGCTACTAGAAAATAGACACTGGCTAATTCTAGAGGTAACCCGGAACGGAACGGTCAATGGTTGCAAAGGAGTAGGTTGCAGTGCACTTACGATGAAAATACCGGACTTGAAATATGTAATCCGCGAAATATGTCGATACGGGCACTGCAGAACCACACAAAAACGAAAAGAAAGGGGTCCGTGAAGATTCACCACGATGTGGCAGAAGCAGCAGTTTGCCGAACCGAACACTAAACGCATCACATGAATTCCTTGGGCTTTTTTGAAGAAATCGCTTGTTGCCGATATACGCGTAGGACTTTTCAAACACTGGAAATCTTGGTACATTCGAATACGTTGTCGCGGACGAAATCTACGGCAGCCCCGCTGGTCGCAGCAGGCGGGGAAGCAGACATTCCGAGGTCGGAAAAAAATACTACGTCATCCGTGAAACCTTTACCACATGATCACACTCCTGCCGCTACCCGCGCCAAGGCAGCGAAGTCGAGAGATGAAAAAGCCTCCGGTTCATTGGTCCGGCTCCTGCGCACCTTCTTCCACGCTTTCAGCTCAGGGAGAGAAAGAAAAAGAGTGGAGTAGAAAAATAGCAGGGGGGCGCCCTCGCAAAGTCTTATCTTCAGGGCAACCCAACAATGAACACAAGGAAAGTTTGACCCAAAGTTAGTAGTGCAGTGGATGCTGTCCGTGGCCTTGGCCTTCAGGTAGGTGCCGTGCTCTGCCTTATCTCTAGCTCGGAGACTGTAGTCACGTGATCCTACGCGGAGACCAGATTGGGCTAAAACAAGCACAGCATCCACTCTACTATCAATACTGAGTAAACAGGATAGCTCCATACTTCCTATTAAACTGCCCAATCTAAAAAGGGACCCCAAAGGGGGAATCCAAGCACAAGCTAGCTGATCGGGGCGCGAAACTATCGTGGCGGTGCACTGATACATCTAGAGGTTTTTAAGGGAGAGAAGGATGCTCATTTTCGGTGCACAAGCACACTGGCTGGGTAACGGAGGGTTCATCTTTCAGGAAAAGGGTGCATGTACGCCTAATGCACCCGACTACACCCTTTTTTTTACAGAGTGCTCTAAAAAAGACCAAATGGGCGACCACCAATAATGCTCGATGGGGTTTTGAGAATGGTCCAACGCGGCATTGCAGTGGACCTCGAGGCGTGCTTCTTGTTCCAGGTCATCGCCTTCGTGAGGGAGTGCAACAAGACCGTCTGGTCGCAGTTCGACTGGACCCGACTGACCAGCATCGTCTTGGTGGACTTCAACGACGCGCAGCTGTACTGCTACGCCCACGAGCGTGAGGTCGCTGTCATTTACTCCGGTACGCCGTTTACTCTCAAACGATTCAGTTTGACGAGGATAAGGAAATAGTCAGGGCTGTGCCAACTCTGAGAGCGATGTACCGTAGCGGCAGATATCGGGTGAAGGCCCGTGCCTTGTGCGCCAGAACCGGCCGCCAAAACTAGGAGAGGGAAAAAGACCATGGAGGGTCATTTCATGTCAAACGTTGCGCTCGACCCCTTCCGATTTAAAAAAAAAAAAAAAAATCAATGCCTTTTGTTGGAATGTCCGTAGGCAAGCCCTGAAATATTTTAGGCGAAAAAAAATTTGACGCCGTGAGCGCGGTTTTAACTCTTGAAAACAGCGTGAAACTAGGCATCACTCAATAACTGATGAAAAATCAGCTTTTTAGTGAAACACTCAACAATAGTTTTATAAATTTTGCACGGTTTTCGTCCTACAATGTGGTTGGGCTTGTGAAGTTGTGTTTAATTTAAATATGTTTTAAAAAAACTAATTTTTTTTTGAAAATTTTAACATTTTTGGTGTTTTATCAAACAATATGTAACTGCTCCCGGGACCTAATAGAATTTTTCACCGGCTGCCCTCCAGGTATATATTATGTAAAAAAAATGTTTCAAACCGCTCACTTAATTATCTCGCTGTAAACAAAAATCATGAAGCTGCAAAAAAGTGCGTTTTTGACGCATAAACAGCCGTTTATTTCACCTTGAGGTGGTCCAAGTGAAAATACTAACTATGGTGGGTTTGGAAGAACAATCGATAATCTTTTGATTCTGAAAGTTTGAGCAAGGTAATTTTTGTTTAAAGCGAGAAAACAATTTTTGAAGTTGAACTCCCGCACCAGAATCCGGCATCGCTTCTTAACGCCTCTTCACCGCACAGCACGCCACCTGCGACGATAGCTGACACGATTAGGTCCGAAGAAAGAACGGAGTCTTCTGCCGCTTCCCCTTGTCTGTCTTTCCGGTTGCAAAGGAAGAAACGGTTGGTATCGTGTAATAATCGGAGGTGCCGCCAGCGCGTAGCAATAGCAAGCCCGTTGTGCCCTTTGTTCCCGAGGGCGGCTAGAAACGCGGTGCCTAATACGGGCGGCATCAGCTGACGTGGACTTCTCCTAAAAGGGAAACGTGATAATATCGCCGCTAAACCTAGCTGTCACGCACACTGCGGCGAAAAGCGGAACTATTCAGCGACACAAGAATTTGCCGTTTCAAAGCCGATTTAAACACAAACGAGGCGAGAGCCTCAACTGCGCGCATTCGTTAACACTGCATCGCCTCTTCGTTTAAAATTTCCCGTTCACAGGGCTTTTGTGTTGCTGCCTACATCTGTCCTGACGTCGAGAAGAGAGAGGGATTGCGATGTGTACGTAAGAAACAGCTAGCTTACTATAGCTTACTAGCTTACCTGGCAGCGCTAAGCATTTGCTGATATCAAGACAGTGGAAGACCACAGGAGGACACAGCCGCGCAAAACGGTCGAAATAGGAAAAGCCATAAAGCAACAAGAGTAGAAAAAAGCTTCTTCCCTCCAAGATGTACCCGACAACTTGAGTTCTACCTGCGCGCGCACACCGTGACACCGTCGCACGCTTTGTCGGGCTCGACAGTGGCGCGGTGTCCATAGGAGAGGAGCAGGTTCAAGTTCAAAATGTTTTTTCCTCTTTAGAACAAAATTATTTTAATTAAACTTTAGAGAACAAAGGGAAACAAACTTTTTTTGTAGGAGTCAACATGTTACGTATTTTTCTTTGGGCCACCTCAAGGCAGGAATTAGCGGCTCTTTAAACGGCAAAACGCAATTTTGCACAAATTTAGTTGTTGTTTTTTCTGCAAGATATTTAGTTGTACGGCCTGAAACCTTTTTTGTGTACAGTATACTTACAGGGCTGTCAATAAGAGTATTTACAGTCGCATGCAGCAAAGCCATAGTTTGTAACAAAACTAAAAATATGCTAAAGTGCTTATATATTCCTTATTTTTTAAGAACTGCTTCGAGCATACAAAATTCCATGACTATGATCCTTATTACATATTAATCCAAATACTGTATGGTTTTTATGCCATACGGTATTGTGCCCCAACTCCACGGCAATCTCTGTATTGTCGGAAACTCCAAATAAATAAAAAATAAAATGTTCCAGTGTTCCGTAAAAAAAAAGCCTACTTTTCATCAATTATTAAATGACTCCTAGTTCCACTTCCTTTTTACGAGTTCAAATTTCTGCCATCACCCCATGAAATTTGTTTTTCGTCAAAATATGTTAGAGAGGCCCCACAAACGTTACGGTGAAGAGCCATCAATTTTATTTTAGGATACGGAGGTGGCCGTGGGACCTTTGGCATGGCATGGAGAAGTCGAGCCGCCCTCGCGTACTATATAAGGGCACAACGGGCTTGCTATTGCTACGCGCTGGCGGCACCTCCGATTATTACACGATACCAACCGTTTCTTTCCTTGCAGCCGAAAAGACGGACAAAGGAAAACGGCAGAAAACTCCGTTCTTTCTTTGAACCTAATCGTGTCAGCTATCGTCGCAGTTGGCGTGCTGTGCGGCGAAGAGGCGTTAAGGAGCGATGCCGGATTCTGTGCGAGAGTTCAACTTCAAAAATTGTTTTCTCGCTTTAAACAAAAATTACTTCGATTAAACTTTCAGAATGAAAAAGATCATCGATTTTTCTTCCAAACCCACGATATTTTGTATTTTTACTTGGACCACCTCAGGGTGAAATAAACGGCTGTTTATGCGTCAAAACGCAGTCTCTTGAAACTTCAGGATTTTTGTTTACAGCGAGATATTGAATTGAGCGGTTTTAAACATTTTTTTATAGAATATATAGCTGGAGGGGCAGCTGGTAAAAAGTTCTATTAAGTCCCGGGAGCAATTAGATATATTTTTTAATAATATAACAAAAATGTTAAATTTTTCAAAATTTTTATTTAATAATATTTAAATTCAAACAAAACTTCCCAAGCCCAACCACATTGTAAGTCCAAAGCCGTGCGAAGTTAATAAAAAATATTGTTGGGTGTTTCACTAAAAAGCAGATTTTTCATAAATTATTGAGTGATGCCTAGTTTCACGCTGTTTTTAAAAGTTAAAACCGCGCTCACGTCATCAAAATCTTTTTTTTCGCCAAAAATATTTCAGGGCATAGTTACGTACATTGCGGCAAAAGGCCACAATTTTTTTTTTCTTTTTTTTTTTTTTTTTAGAAATCGGAAGGGGTCGAGCGCAACGTTTGAGACGTTTGAAATGGCATAGCCTCCTCTATACGGAGAAAGCCTGGCACATCGACAACGGAGCCATAGAGCGCGCGGCCGCAGGAAAAAGGAGAGGAGGAGCGCGCCGAACGTCGACCAGTATGGTAGCGCAGAGCAGAAAGGGCAGACCTAGACAGCGAGCGCTTGGGTCATGAGCGGCCGCACCCCGAACCACGCTTGTTTTTGTGTTTTCGTCACTGTCGTTTTCGTACTCCGGGAGAAACGGGCGCGGCGATTCGAAAGGGCGCAGGGAGAAACGGGAAAGGATGGACGTTGAGTTTCTCCTCTCCACGATAGCGACAAGAAAAGAGAGAAAAAAAAAGATTGTTTCTGCGTTTGGCCGCTCGCTCTTTTGTGGCGCTAGCAGACAAGGTTCTCTCCGCTCCCGTTTCCTCGCCCCTTGTTTCCCATTTACGGCGGCCGTCTTTTCTCGCGACGCGCCAGGCTTTCTGCGTATAGAGGAGGCTATGGAAATGGAATGACCCTGGGGCGTTAGGATGATGGAGCCAAAACACTCCGCGGCCACTTCTTGAAACCCTTCTCTTTCATTTGTTGTTTAATTGCAAAAACAAACAAAAAAAAAAACAAACAAAACAAAAAAAACACGAGCGTAACGACACGTCACGTAGCTGGGAGAGGAAGATAAGCCACAGAGACCAGCCATAGTTTCTTGCGTATAGGATAACGTGGCTTCCACATGAAATGGCGCACAGCTCGCGTCCCGCTAGGCGACGGTGGCCGCTGAAAATATCCGCCTGATCCGGGATTCGATTCCGGGACCTCTCCAGAGTTAGCGGAGCGCCCTACTAACTGAAGTGGTCGGGAGCTGACAGTCAGTAAAGCAAATTAACAGCTCAAAGTGAAAGCTTGGGCGTGTTGGTATAAGGCAGGATGAATTGTTAAGGCGTGATAAAGTTAACAGTTGCCACCAGTCCTGATCATAACCAGGTGGGACCCTCAGTTTCGTTCCCAGCGTCTCTCCTGGCTAACTCGACGGAGCAAACGCACTGGATCAAGAAGCAGCTGACCTACGCGGAGTCCAACTTCCTGGATGGCATCAACATCGACTTCGACGCGCCCGTGGACAAGGGAAGCGCCGAGTCTCGGGCCCTTGAGCAGCTGGTGAACGACACTGCGGTTGCCTTCCACACTCTCCTACCCGGGTCTCGGGTACGGAACTAACGCGCGGCTCTTTGCACCACGCCGCTGTTATGGCGCTGCTGTCGCTGCGACGCATGGGCAGACGATTCGCTTTGTGCAAATCTGATTTGTGCGCATGCGTGGCGCCCACACCTGGTGAGAGAGAACGCAGGCTTCTTTGTAAACATGCGCGATAGTGCATGCATTACTAAAATTTAAAATACAAAAAAATAAAGGAGGACCACAGATATACGACACGGTTTTTCATTGTGTTTAAAAGGGTACTTCGGCGTTTTCTTCATAGTCCCCTACTTGCCTGAAAATTGGCTAAACAGACCAATAAGCATCGCTGAAATGGCAACCCAAATATCGGGTCAAAAATTACAGTTTTGCCCCCACCTTGTTTTTCAAGGTGAAAGTCTCTACTGGCAACAGTGAAAACGTGACGTCAGGGGAAGGCAGGGTTCCACTCTTTGGACTGTAGACTGTGCTCTTAACTGATTACAAGCAGTTTCGTGGTGTCCAAATGAATGCTTTAAAAGCTCGCTCCAGCACCCACTCAGCAGCAGCACGAAACAAATGCCTGGCATAGTCCATTTTTAGACTGCCCGCTTGACCTGCAAGCCTTCCTTGCCCTGACGTCACGGCATTAAAAAGCGCGGGTATATTTGAATATTGGTTTGTTGGTTTTGGCACCATTTTCCCTTGCCGATTTCACAATAACCGTTCCCCCCCGAATTTCGCGACACTAAATAGCACACCGAAAACGGTGAAGGCCGGTGGGTGATTCCGATAATAGAGTTAGTTGGGGTAGCTCAGGGAAAATCGCCGGTGTACCCTTTTAAAGTTAAGAACCCCAGACGTGTCGTATGCGCCCTTTTTGTACTCCTAGCTTAGCTTAAAACATTTTCTATTTGTAATACGTCTAGAGGACTTCCAAGGAAAAAAGTTATAATTACTAGGCGCAAAGCGTTAACTAAATAAAAAAAAAGTAAGAGCTAATTTTTGTGCAGTCTGTTGTATTAAAAAAAGTTTAACAATTAAAATTTTATAATTATCACGATATAGCAAGCTAAAAGCCGTTCGTGTTCCATAAAACAAATTGTGAAGCGTTTTGAAGAAAATCTGGTTTTTCCTCAATTATTGATTGATGTCTAGCTTTGTGCCAATTTTAGAAATTCAAACCACGCTCATGCCATAAAAAAAATAATAATAAAAAATTCGGCGAAAATATTTTAGGAAAACTTTAGGGGGACACTAGCGGGGTATTTATGCTCGCCAAGGTGTTCATTTGTACATGACATTTCAGAGCCCAACTACCCAGAACACAATTTACGACTCGAAATTCGTTTCTTTCGGCCCGAAAACCGCCGATCGAGAACTGGCCGGTTTGAGTCGCGCTCACTCTCTTCTCCGTGGTCACGTGCCGTTTTCAGTGATTTAGACACAATCACCAAAGATAATCAAAGTCGTGGGTCATCGAAGGCACGCACTCAGCGCTAAAAATAGACAAAATATATCATGCCCATTTTTTTTTGTGCCTTGTAAAAATCTGCAAATACGTTGATTAAAAAAAAAAAGTTGCACAGCTACGTGATTTTTGGGAACTTTCTCCTCTATATTTCTTCTTCCTCCCCAGTTCAATTTCAGTTTTGAGATGTTTCTTTTTTTTAGTTTATTCAAAATATACGGAACACTGTTGCCAAATATTGATTGGGTAGTCCTCTGACACCATAATAAATCGCGTGAAAAAAAGATACTTGGGGTAAAAACCCATCAAATTTCTTTTAAAAATCGGAAATAGTCGAGCGCAACGTCTGGGACGTTTGAGATGGAATGACGTGCTGAGAATGCGGAGAGCAGGTCGTCTGCTTCTTGCAGAAGTTGCGGTGACGTCAGAACAACGCCGATCTCTTATTGGCTGATTGAGGAAAAAGAGTGGGTGGAGCTCAATGCTAGATACCTCGAGGTCCACCCACCATATTTTTCAATCAGCCAATAAGAGATCGGCGTTGTTCTGACGTCACCGCAAAATCGGCGCAAGAAGCAGACGACTGGCTCTCCGCATTGCGCCACGCCTGCGCCAAGATGGTTCTAGACGAAGCAAAATAGATGATATTTTAATATTGTTGACCCTAATACCTAAAGAAGGAAGAGGGAAGGAAATCAATACAAATATTATTTTACGACGTTTCTACTCACCGTATACTGTGTTTCATTTTAGACGAGAGCACAGTCGGGGACTCAAACACAACCGCGAACACGCATACTAAAACCGAAACTCACGGAATATTCGCTGCGCATGATGGATTAGCCGTTGAAAGAACGCGTACAGAAAGGTGAAGCATGTCATGATGTCACGCTCTGACGCCGTTTGACTGGCCCCATCGGGTCGCAGCAACGGCTGCGCTTTTACTTGTGATATGCAGGACCAGAGCAAAATGTTCGTAAGTTTTGCGTAAGTTACGAATTTCGTCGTAACTTACGCGAAACTTACGAACATTTTGCTTCGGGAATACTCAAAAGTTCGTAGCTTTGTCGCAAGATAAATTTACGAACTTCTTTGTCGTAAATTAGTTTTAGCAATATTGCCTCAGGGTGTTTGACCAATACCACCTAGAACACAAGGCCTGCGCGTTTCCTCCTCTAAACGTCATCACTAGTAGATCCCCTCAGCGCCCCCTAGCTAGCCCGGATGAGCAACATCGTCTGCTACATCGTCTGCTCCATCGCCTGCTTCAGTGGTTTGTGTTACAAATAACGAAACAGATGCTCACGCCGAGTGTCTCTTGCAAATAGCATACGATGAAGTTAGACGTTCACGTGGAGCGTCAAATGCATGAGCGAAATTTCCTTACTACTGCGCGAAGGGCTCAAAAGCCCTTCGTTGGACGCTGGACGCTGACACTGGACGCCATTTTCGAGGGCGCTGTTTATAGACGCTTTACACACGCGCCAGATTGAGCCGCCATAGCCGCCCTTCTCTTGTCTTACCGAGATGCCGAGCCACTGAAGCGGGCGTTGACGGGTATCCACAAGGGCCTATGCTGGGGACAAGAACACAGTAGCATCTAAAATGGCAATAACCTGTACTGCTGTGGTAATGATGAAGTGAAGCGAACGAAATAAGAGGGAACAAAAACTGAAGGTTAGTTATGGCGGCGCCCATGCACAGCTGCTGTAAAGCGTTTATACCTCGGGTAGCTGCTTCGAAGCGTTCTACCGCAGAACGAGCGCGCGCGCTAGAAATGCGCGTCTCAAAGCCAGGAGCGCGTGCTAGCTCGCGCTCCTGGCCGAGGGAGCGTTCGCGTGCACGTCGCAAATGCACTGGAAGCTCGCTATCAGCTCGCGCTCAGCAGTCACGCACACAGCTGCGGCCGCAAGTGAATGCGACGTAGTTGCGACGCGGCCCCTACTCTCGTCAAGCTTCGGGGTGTTTGCCGCTTGGGGCGGGTCGGGGATCTACTAACGAAACGTCATGCGCAGGCCTTGTCTTCTAGGTGGTATTGGTTTGACTCCCGATGAGATCACTCGTTTATCATGTCTGCCACAGGCCTCCGTGCAGTGGCACTCGCGTCGCTCGCTTCAACAATTCACCGTCTATCACCAGAGGGCGCGCGCGCGTCGAGCTAGCTTCACCGTTTAGCATCGGAGTGCTAGGAGCAGCGGCTGACACGGGGGAGTGCCTGGGTTAGAGCGATAGACTCGTAAATTATGCTCAGTCCTAGGGAGCCTTCATGTGCGCTTTGCTAGGGTGGTGCCACCCTTTGTAATACCACTCGCCGACAAACCAGCAGCCATTTTGGTTCTCGGCGATAATCCGTGGGGCTTATAACCCTCCCGGAAACAAGCACCTTATCTCACGAGTTCGGGGCAGCGTTGTGGAACCCACGGAGGGAGGATTAGCATTTCCCCCCTCGGATGGAGGGACCGATGGACTCAAAGGCCACTTTCCGGCGCACGGGAAACGCACAGGGAAACAATGAGCAACAAAATGGCGGTGGGGGAAAGGGAAACAGGCAGTTGGCATCACTGTATGCGAAGCGCACATGAAGGCACCCTACTCAGTCCTATTCTGAGGCCTAGCGACTTAGGTCTTGATTCTGAGCTAACCGTTCCCGAGCAGCTGTCGACTGAAAGAACAGCAAACTTTGTCTTAGATCTGCTTCAAACGATGCTAAAGGGGGTGTAGTTTTTATAATATTTACGAGTGGTTACTTTCGCAATTTCTTATATTAGAGTCTTGAGCTTGGTAGGTTCCTGAAACTGCGGAGGGGGGGGGGGGGGGGGGGAAGAAAGGGGGGTAAAGGGCTCGTTTATTTTCTTATTATAAACGTGTTTGCGTATTTGTTGGTTTTTTTTCTGGCATTTACAGAAATTATATTTACGTGCTAAGTAAACTACGGAGTGTAAAAGAAGGAGAGAGAGAAATGCTTTCCCTATATTGAGATGTTGCGCTCTATGATTAGATTTTTCATATCTTTTTTAGATACCCATTGTAAGTGGAGCTACTTTGACCAGAGCATTAGTTCTTTAAAAAAAAGGCTCTGTGTTTCTTTTGCGCTTCACCTATTATTATTAGAAAATGCAATGTGATTCAGTATCAAAATGGACCCTAAATAATTATCAAAGATAAACTTATTTAGCGGTGCAATAACCTTCTAATTTTTAAGTGATGATAACAGATGTTAGCATCTGTCCCCAAAGCGTCAGTGGCTGCTCAAAACCAATATTTTGCACACTACAAAACCTGATACGAAAGGTCTAATGCCGCTTCACTCACTGGATTAACGAAAACCCGTTTTTGTGTCGAGAGCATCTGCGACAAAAACAACGTTTCTTGCGGGTCTTTAGGTCACTTTCACCGCTCCGTGGTCACCGAATGGCGTCGACGGTTGTTTCTACAACTACTCTGCCATCGCCAACTCCTCGGACTTGCTGCTGGTCAAGGCTTACGACCAACAGAAAGGGAGCTTCGAGAGGCCATGCGCCGCTAGGCCCAACGCGGACTTCTTCAAGGTGTCTAAAGGTCAGCAAAGAATCAGCGTCCCACTACTAAGTGCAGCGAGCACTTGACAGCCTTAAAGGCGGTCAAACTTAAAGCCTGGTTCAGACGCTTGAGTTTGGTTGTGAGCGACTGCGTTCAAACCCTTTGTGAGTGTTTACGACGAGAGGACACACTGGCGCCAACTATCAAGTACTCTACCGTCGACTCAATAAGGTGTACATTCGAAGCATTGTTTATTATTTTGGGGCATTTTTTGAGGCACTATATAGCCATCATTTCTCCGTCTCATTCTTCCGTAGCTTCCATTTCGTATAAAAATAATGAAACAAATTATTATTTTTTCTCGCCGCCAAAGAACGTCGGCATACAATTCTATGGTAATGTTACAATGCAGCTTTTACTTTTTGTAGTCTTAAAAAGCATCTTCACAGTTTGTGCACGATAATTTTGGTACTTAATATTGTCCTAGCACGACCCAATTTGGCACGCATCAACATCTTGAACACCCGAGACAGAGGAACAAAAAAGTGGACAATACGCGCACAGGCTCTATTTTGGGACCTGTGTGCAGTGGCTTCACTAGGGTCAGCGGCACCCAGGGCTGAAACTTGCTATGACCCCCCCCCCCCCCCCCCCCCCCCCCCCCTCCTTCCCCTTTCCAATGACGCCACTGCCTGTGTGGGTGTTGTCCACCTTTTTGTTCTCAAGTCTCGTGTCTTCAAGATGTTACAAGAGTCCCCAGCTTCTCTGCACTTTCTCTGTTATTTCTTGGCGTGCATATTCCTTAAAGGGGCACTAAAACCCCAAATATAGTTTTTTTTTTTGTGTGTGTGTGTCTAAAGCGATGGAAGCTGTAGTCTAGAAGTTCTTTGCGCGACACAAGGGACAATCACAAGGGAGTAGACACGGACAAGCGTAAGAAAACCTCTAGGCTGCATCATGAACTAACTAGGCCAACAACAAGTTTTAATTAATTAGTTGTAGTCATAGACGCGTAAAAAATACCACAATGCGAAAAAAATATTTCCCCACGGGCGCTTGCGCCTTTTTATTTTTGGCGTTCTTCTCTCCCGGTTCTCGCCTCCTCGCTTCTTTTTTATTTGTGACGTAATCGATTAAAAAATTTAGAAGCTTTGTAAATGACATTCCTATAATATTTAAAAACGGCATTCGTAATACGTGTCTTTTTTTTAACGCAATTGCGAACGCACTACGGCCCTTCTTTTTGAAATACTGAAAATCGGATTCAGGAGTGATGTCGCCTCCTGGCTTTTTATCCTCCCTCGGAAAACATGGCGGTGCTCGACACATGTAGCACTGAGGATGATCAGCGAGTCAGCGAATCGAACGGAGTTCCCTTTTAGGTGCCCGACGACCTCTCAGACTTCGAAAAGAAAATCGTTAAACGTTCAAAACAACTGGGTTTGGTGCCTTTGTTTCGGTTGTGACCACTGATCTCCGTTGTGACTATACTTCGTTTCAGCTTCGGTCCGAGCGCGGCCGATGTTATGAGCCGAAGGGCCAATCAAACAGCGCAAAAAGCGCAGCGTCATGGCGTGATCTCTGCGCTTGATAGGACTAGCCGGCGGAGGAGAGCGCAGAGAGAGACGGCGAATACCGGCTGGTCCTATCAACAGCAGAGAGCACGCTCGACGGTGTGCCTCTTTCGCTGTTTGATTGGCCCTTCGGCTCATAACATCGGCCGCGCTCGGACCGAAGCTGAAACGAAGTATACCGGTGCAGCATTTTCACGCCGAACCGGCACGACCTGGCCCCTCGCGTCGCCCAAAAAAGTCCACTGCGCGTTCTCCTCGACCTCACATCGTTTCAAAAAATTTGAGGCCGCTGGAAGAGCCCTAAAAGAACCTCAAACTTAAAAGTGAAGCGTCGTCTGCTCACAGCGATAGGCAGCACGCAAGCGGTTGCTCGCGGGACGCGGGCTCGGAGGCGTGAGAGAAACTCGAGTTGAAGGACGAGTTAATCTTTGACGTCACTTCAGTGTCATGGATTGCGCGGGAACTTCAAATTCGGCTTTGGGAATTTTTTTTTTTTTTTTTACTTCACAAATACTGAGTTCCCGAGTTTCACATTTTGAGGGTAATGTCCAGGCATCGTTTTCAATCATTTCGGATAATAAAATATATATATATATCAGGGTGTCGAACCGGAACCGAACCGAACCGAAAACCGGAACCGAACAGGTATTTTTTCCGGAACTGAACCCGAACCCGAACCGTTATATTGTTATCGCGATGAACCCGAACCGGAACTGAACCGGAAAAAAAATAACGGTTACCGGCTCATGTCAAAACGGTTCGGCCACGCGCTGTTGACAATGAATGTGCTATCAATGCCATTTGTTTTTTAAGTGCCGTCAACTGACACACACCTCGCTTACATATTTTTCTTCTCCACTCAGTCTTAGGAATATAAACGCTGCATCCATGAATCTTGACAAACGCTGCATCCATGAATCTTGACATAGGAACCAGTATTGCGCTGGTCGCGGCTTGCACGGAAGAAAGAGAACTAAAAGGCTGTGCAAAAAAAAAAAAAAAAAAAATCGCGTCACGGGATTTTATTTTTTTACAATCTCGTAAATCCTAAATGCTGCTGTGTGCTCATTTCATAACACGTTTCTAGAACGCGCGAGTTCTTGAAGCTTGCTTCCATCGGAATGAGAAAAGAAAAGGCTGTGGAGTTTGATAATAATGCATCCGGTTTCGTATAGGCACTTAGAAGCTAACATATTTGTGAGACAGCGAACTCTTCTATTTTAATATTTATCCTATTACGTCCTTCTGGCGTTGCGTTCGGTGAAGTGTTTTTCATATTCCGTATCTTGTTTAATGAAAACTTCTTTAAGGGTCTAATTTGAGTTACCGAAGGCTAGTTCAAATAAAGAAAGCTGTATTTTCTCCCCACTGTTCCTTCAATTGCTTACACGCCGAGGTGGCGCGATAGTTAGCGAGTTCTACTTGTAAGTGGGTTTGTAAGGAGGTCGCGGATTTTACAGCTACCGCGTCGGACCCAATTAGATGAAGTCCGAATGCGTAAACGTCGGTGAGGTAACCTTTGAGTGCACATAAAGAAACCATTCCTGGTAGAAATCCCTGAGCCTTACACTACGATGTATCCCGTTTCGTATGTGCTGAATTCAGATGTTTTATTTGTAATTTATTTTGATGTTGCAATTTGTCATTTATAATTTCCGAACCGGTTCGCGGATCGAATTAATCGAACCGGAACTTAACCGGAACAAATAATTTTACCTGAACCTGAACCGTAACCGAACCCGTATTTTTTTTCGGTTCGACACAGTGATATATATATATATATATATATATATATATATATATATATATATATATATATATATATATATATATATATATATATATATATATATATATTGACCTGTCAGTGCCCCTTTAAGATCTGTAGAGTACAACTATTAAAGAGAAAATGAGCTTATTTTATGTTGCTGTTTCTGGTTTGTTGCCATGCCCCACGTGTGCACCAGAACATGTCTTCTTTCGCATGTGCATCGCATCCGGAACATAAACACACAAATTAGCACTTTCGAACTTATCACCATATTTATAAAAAAAAAATATATCTATATTATAAACTGTGTGAAATTTTAATTTGGCTTGCCACAAGCATTTCCAGGTTTTGTGTCCACTTGCACATTTCGTACTCAATAAGTCCCGATTTGAACCATTCGCAACATTAAATTTCATTCTAAATTGGGGATCTGATTGCAGAAAAAAGAGAACGAGAGCATAGAACCAACCGATTTTTATGCTTATCTTTTTGCAATAGCCCACAAGACCTTTTTCTGCACTTTCACCTGATAAGAGGCTTAACTCCTTATTGAGCCATTAAAACATTGTGGTTTCTATTTGTAATTCCCGAGTGAGACAAGCTTTTCCTTCGATACTTTCACAAGTCAAATCCACTAATCCACCACCTAGCCTGACCTTCACGATAAATGAGAGTGCCGTAGCGTGAAAATTTGATTTTTTAGACTTATTTGAAATGAGTTATATCCAGCCGTCCTACGCGGTAGAACGCCATTACGATGCTGCTCTCTGCCTTTGCAGGAATTCGGGAGTATCTGAATCTTGGTATCAAGAGCCACCGACTGGTCCTGACCGTGCCCTGGTTCGGCTATGACTATTCCTGCCTCCACATGACCGCAAAGGTAAAGTACCGCGCCTTCGATCATGCTCAATTGCAGCTTGCATCGCGTGTGGTCCATCACTTTCAGAAGAAAAAAAAAACTGTGAAGCGGTTTATCGGTAGACTTTTCACTCCCTCGTCTTTATCTAGAAACTTTCCTGCAAAATGCTTGGGAAAGCCAATAGAAATTTTGCACATAGTAAACTTCTGCCCAAGATAAGAACCATATCACTGAATTCACGAGAGAAAAAGCTATAGAAGTGCGTCAGCTTCCTTCTACATAAACACTCCCTAAAGCGGAGTACCAAGGTTCGTTTTAGCATCGCTGTCAAGTTATCTGCGCTCAGATGTCTGATTGTACAATAGACCGTGCAATGTTTTGAGTGTGCCAGTGTACTAGGGAGTTTCAGTATATTGTTTTAATAACAACGATGACAATCTACTTAAAATTCCTCTATGGCAAAAGGTACTGTGCCTTCTCAGGCTCAAGAGGTTTATGAAGAGAACCCGTGTTCATTCGTCTGCTGGCATCTGTAGTAGATGATAGGTTAAGCACCCAGTGTAGATGCTCCGCCTCAAGTGCGACCTTTCTGCCCTTGATAACACCGTCTAACGATCAGCCAAAGCCCATGGAGGGCGACAAACGCGTGCTT